TGAGGAATCAACAGCTGGGTCAGCAGCTCTGTGAGACAGTCCTCAAGCATACATTAGCATGCTGCTTAATAATCATAGTACCCTTCCAGCTCTGGGTGATAACATTTAGATATTTCACAAGAGTAATGGATCATAAGGACAGCTGAGGGTGATGAAGATGTCATGAGTTTGTGGGTCATTGATCATAAACTAACAATTCATCTTAAGAGGGTATGAAAGTCGGCAGCATGAAAGATTTGTATCTGCTCTGGAACTTGAATACATGTCATAGACTTCACGTATGAGATCATTCACGCTTTTATCAAAGTCATGAGGGTTAATCCTCTGTGGACCATGAACATGCGTATATGATGTCAAGGCAGTTAGTTGGCGTCAGTCGTCTGGAGGTTTCAGTTAGTACGTTTACATGACACTAGAGAAAACTGAGTTACTGCCTTACTATGATTAAGACCGGACAGCTGAAGTGCATGTAAACACCTTAGACTTAAAGAACTCTGATTAAGACATCCGAATAATGCGATTGGAATTTGATTTTTCTCTACCATGTGACCAGCGAAGTCAGAGTATGATTGGACAGTGCATGCTGGTGTGAACAAAAACACCAGAAGAGGAGCAGTGTGCACCTCATCTGCAGAAAAAGTAGCGCATACATCATGTACAACAATGATGTATACTGTTTCCAGTTTTATGGGGTCAACTGGAAACAGCGTCGCTGAGAAGACCCATATTGCCCCCTAGTTTTGGGGAGGAGGACATGTTCACGTCAATAATTCGGTTTTCTCAGCAGCTGTATAGGCAGACAAGGAGAGAAGTCCGATACGGTGAAAAAACCCAATTATGAGCTTAGTCCGATCAAGCTGTGCATGTGAACGCACTGACTGTGGTCTGACTGACTGAGACACTGTCACACCCGGAGCAAAATACAGAGACCACAACCTTTATATCCGTGCAGTCTTCACAGGTAAAAACATGAAATTATCTGTTCTGGCCACAAATTGGAAATTGGCTCTCTTTAGACTCGTGTGAATATCAAGTTTTGCTCCCAGTGACTGAAAATTCTGCAGAAATAACTACTTTGGTCTTTTTAAAAATGTTGCTCCAGCTCGTTTTTCCTACTTTGATATCAAACTACATATTTATTATTTGACTGTGTAATTTTGCAACACGCTCTGTATCACAATTTGAAGATATCTTGGGCCAAGAATCAATTTTCTCCAGCTTGTTACTGCCATGAGACCGAGGTTTTCCAGTCAAATACTCATGCTTAAAGTACATCCAACGTGGCATGAGACTCACTAAAAGGCCATGGAGTAGAAGGTAAGCTCAACAAATCATTTTAAATGAAGCTTACTAAAGAGGATCCCGACTACCTTCTCATGCATGCACTAACCTTGGAAGTATTTCCACGAGCTGAGACCTGACAGGGCAGTGGATTACTGTCGGAGGACTCTGGTTTCTCAGATACCAGTCCTGGTGAGTTCAGTTTAAACATTCTTTGGTCAGTTTTTGACACCTCTGCTTGGCGTCTCTTTAGAGGTTTTCACGCCCTCCTGCTGAGACACAGGCAGATAAAGGGAGACTGCGAACGAGATAGGGAAATGATGAAGCGCAGAGCAACTAACACACTTCCTCCTATCTGAGTCTGTCACTGTGTCAACTATCTCGGTGTCAGACCGGTGTTTGGCTGTCTCCCTCTGTCACTCTTTTGTTCTGCGCTGAAGAAAGCGCAGGGCCGCAGCTTCAAAGTATGAATGACTTGAAAGCTGTGATCTGTGTGTGTCTGTGTGCGCGGACACAACATAGAACCGCTGCAGCCAACACACACAAATGGAAGACACACTGTGCAATTGAGTGAGTCTGGCTTTGTAGACAGCATCTGTTCTGCGCCCTGTCATCCCTCCTCCCCATCCCCCCTCTGTGACAGGTGGAGGGATTCAGACTCATGATCTAAGGAGACACACACACACACACACACACACACATAAAGCTCAACATACACCCCAAAGTCACTGACACATGGTAAGTATTTCGCCTACACACACACTCGTACACACACACCTGCTGTGGGGCAGAGCTACAGTGCCCTTTGGTGCCAGGCAGGCTGAGCGGCACGCTGCGTGTTTACACCACCTGCTCTCGGGCCAAACACGGGGTGAGGGATTAGAGCTGACAGCACACAGAAGAACAGCAGCACAGAAACCCAGACGAGTATAAAACCCCTCAAAGTATCCAACATGTCAGAGAGGTCAAACTTATTCTTTCTTCAACACACACAGAAAAGCACCAAACCCATCCATCAATCAGCATTTACACTCCCCGCTGGGACAAATAAGAGTGTAAACAACTTTTGTATCGGAGTTTTCTCGCTTACAGACTTGTAATGCAGAGGGCAGCGGCTCAGCTTTCTACTAAAACAACAACGACCTTTTGGCCCCGGACTAATTTCTATAAACACAGTTGTGCAGATTAGGGCTGACCCTCAACACACAACATCAACACACCAAATATGCCGTCTTCGGTGTCTGTTGTGCTGGGAGACTTTAACTTGAGTTTTACCACCAACTGTATCAGTAATGTCAGAGCCAAAAGCCTAAACTTCCTTTGGTAGGAAGGATTTTTTTAAACACACAAGGGAAGCTAAACTAGATTGAAGATTTTAAAGACGGCATAGAAACAAAGAATCATGTTCCTGATAAGAGAGCGATGCAGTTTATGAGAAATGCGTTTTGTTGAGCGACAGGAAGGACAGATTTTATCTCGGCTAGGCTAGAGGCGTATACTGCGGGGTCTGTCTCCACTTTTCCAAGAAAACTCGACTAACTCCGTACGCCAGGGCTGGGAATGCTGGGAAACTTTCTGAGGTATGTCTTGTCTTCTGAGGAAAACATGCCACAGGGTATGAAGCTGTGGGCTGACAATACGTGTGTTCGTGCGAGAGTATGTGTGTGTGTGTGTGTGTGTGAGTGCAGCAGTTCTCCTGATAGTGGTTCTATTTTAGAGAGAGACTTGTGCAGCTGAGACATTTCTTAGTTATCTGCTGTTTCCAGCCCTGAGGAGGTGAGAGGCAGGTCTGCATCCATTCTCAGTGTGATCAAGCTGAGCTGCCAGAGAATTGGGAGAGTGAGTAGGTGCAGCCACCTCCAAAGACACACACACACACACACACACACACACTAAGCTCTTGGATGTGCATTTGTTAAAATGGTAATCGCTCCACAGTTGTAATTGCCATAGTGAAGCCCGCTGATAATTACTGCACACAATGACAAATCAGTGCACAAACAAATCGACAAAGTGGAGCTGAAATTGCCTTTAAAAACAGCACACCTACACAACGCATAAAAGCACGCAGACAGGAGCGTGCGCACACATGTACAAAAGAAGTCGATCAGTGGCTTGTGAACAAACATGGCAGACCTCCTCTGGTGAATTCCACACATTTCTCTGTACCACTCAAGGACATGTTTATCCTTTTCTTTCCCCCAAATTACAGGGTAGAAAGAAAAAGGGATCATGAAGAGAGACGGGAGGAGGGGGAGAGGGATGGGCCAGGGGAGGGGGGGACAGTGGGTTCAGGTGTGCTGGAACAGCTGGTCTTTAAATGAAAAAAGCAGGGAGTGGGCGGACAGAGGACAGACACACAGGGAGCGAGAGATGAGAGAGCGGGCTGGTGTTTATAAAGAGACTGGATTAATATTTTTGGAGACAGTCAGAATAATTGCTGGAGGCTGTTTATGATGATTGACATAAAAAAAAAGACAGGGGACTGCTCAGTTGGATGGGGGAAGCAGTGTGTGTATAGTACACACACACAGATACAGTGGATGATAGATTGGCAAACACAGCAGACTCACTGTCCAGGGATATACAACACACAATATCTGGCAAACACAGGGGCCAAGAGCAGGCTCGCTCTCACAGACACACAGTGAGCACAGCAGGCTGTGTGCAACAGCTCAACCCTGTCAGCAAACAAAACCTTCTGGTTGCTGTTCCTCAAATCTGGACATGAACTGAGTTAACAACATAAAAGAGATCTGTATTCTCTCAATCGTAGAGACACAGATATACATAAGCTCTCCTCTCTTCTCATTTGGTGCTTGTAGTTTCATTGCCTGGAGGATGGCTGAGGATAGAGGAAAAAAACGCAGGCGCATGAAGCACCACCGGCCCAAATTGAAAACGGGAGAGGAAACAGATTGGATGTTTTGCAGTCAATTTTCCCAGTGCATTAGATTTCTTTGTGGAAAGCTCCTAGAGCTAGCTGTCATGATAAACAAGATTTTAGATAGTGGTGAATATTTGACAGACTGTCAAAGCGGGGAGAGTTTAAGGTTATCTGCTCAAATCTATACCTATCAGACTCTGCTGGCAGCGCTAACACTTCTTCAATAAGGAGTTAGGCTGGATGTTTGAGATTATAAATGTTACAGATTTGGATAAAAGTCAAAGTACTTGGTTATAATCACCCTCAAGTGCATGTACAGCTGTGATATTCTATAGGCTTTGGCACCCTCTGCAGGATTTCAGCAGCACGGCCAAATTAGATCAGTTGAGGGTCTTTCCTGATTGGGCGACACAACAGAGTACACCCACTTCAGCCAGAGAAACAAAACACACACTGAATTAACCAAACTCAAACTTTATGTTGTTGTCCTTATAAACAGTGTAAGCTGGTTTTGCTTCTTAATCACTCACTCATACTTTAAATACTTAGGACAAATTAGGGATGTCTGTAAAAACACTTAAACTGCTTTATGATTTACTTGTTCACATGCATGAAGACAGAGCAGTGCTACTTTGTAATGACGGTTTTCCTAAAATTAAAGTTCACTTTTAAGTAATACTGCACTTTTAGTTAATGTGAAGCATTTCCTTTAAGTTATCAGGGGTTAAAATTTGTTGTTGGCTGGGGGAGGTCTCTAGGTGGCACTGTGGCCCAAGATGATCAGTTAAATCATGACATCATTCCCTACCAAATATTGAAAAGCCAATCATGTTATGAAAATGCAATCATCTCTTTTTATTAACTGCACAATTTTCCTTGGTTGTCATGGTATCGTAGATTAATCTGTTCAAACTATATCAGCCGCAGCAGAAGGAGAGGGGAAAGAAAAGCTCATTTCGTATTGTGACCATGTAGAGCTGGCCACAGACGAGGAGCTGTACTGGCTCACTGATTGAACAGCTCTCAGGAAGCCTTTTCAAACTGCTTAATGAAATTGCACCCTGTAGTGAGCTTTCTGGTTAGAGGATGAGGTCTGAAAACACTAAATGGTCATTTTCTGCCCTTTGGACTAAATGACATTTAAACCGCGAAACCAGAGACAAGCGGTGACAATTTTATGCGGGAGCTTGTTGTTGTCTGGCCAATTCAGTTTATCATGTTAACCAGAGTCCAGAAAAACCTCATCTGGTCAACCATCTTCCTCCTAATCATAACGCAGCTTATTTGACAGAGAATTAACATGAGTAGTAGGGACAACAAAGCCACCAGATTCAGTTGAGGACAAAAGATCACACAAGGTTTAAGTTTCTCCAAAAAACATTTATTAAACAGTTTTCTTGTTTGCAGCTGCAACCTGTGGGGAGGAGAGAAAAACACAAAATGAAGCAGTAATTAGAAAACAAGGCGTTCGAGTGGCTTCAAAAACTTGTGATTATTTCAAATCAAAGTCAAATGACTTGCTGGGGGGAATAACACTTTAAATGTTTCATTATGCAGCTTTGGTTTGTGGAAATGATCCCAACTCAAAATCAATGGCAATCAGATGAAATGTTCCATCTGCTTAATATTCTGCTTGTTTAGTGTTCATTTACAAATCTAAAGCAAACTAATATTTTAATGGGAATATGCAACTTGAAGTGATCAAGATGCTACCGGAAAAAGAAACTTCAGTGGGACTCTGGGGCCAACACAGTTTGGAAAAGTATGCTTGTGTTTCCAGCTGCTGCCAAAATCATCATGAAAAGTCTGCTGGCAGTACATGGCAGGACTCATGATGAAGCGGAAAAAGCATTACTCCCTTAAAATGCTTTCTGAAACTAAAACACATCAAGGACCCGTAAGAACTTAAGAGAAGTCACACCAAATTGCATCCTATCAGTTTTGTGCAGCAGGTAGGCGGGGCTGAGCCCAGGTCTGCTCATCTACATACTGCTCATTAGCATGGGTAAACAAGTAGAAAACTGGTGCCATACGGCGGACTTGCCAAGCATGAAATTCCCTCCTCATGTTTACCCCTTTTACCCTTGGATTATCACAAAGCTGCTGCCTCACGCCTGATTTTTTGACAAGGCCCAACTGTGATTTGTTTAGTGAAAGCAACAAACAGTTCCAGCGGTGTGTCACACAAGAAACACAACACACCTGGCTGGAAGAGAAAAAAAATCGCCCAAGGACAAGCGCTTAAAAAAAAAAAATCTTGCATGTTGAAATGACACTGAGGCCGTGTACTCCCACAACAGACAAGGTGTTGAATCAAAGCAAAGGGGTGATATTTCTGTGATCACACTCCTGAGGCACCATGCCTGGAGTGACTGAACGACATATAAAATGCCGGAGTATCAGAAACGGGCTCCCCGGCTGTTCGATGAATAACATGGCAACTTCATGCTGGCCAGGCAAAGGCTTTCTTCACAGACGGACATTTTAGTTCTAGCTAGCCAGGTGTGACTGCAGAACAGAAATGCTGAAGATGGTCACGAAATGGTTATCACTTTGAGAATCGAGAATTTTTTTTCCCCGTTCTGGTTTTTCAGTCACCAAGACAGCAGAGGACGTATGACTGGTGTCTGGTGAGATTCAATCACTAACAGGTAAAGCTGATATAGATCTTCACCAGCACATAAGACTTCTGCTGCATTATCAAGCACCCTTACTGAAATGTTCATATCAAATAATCAGGCAAGATATAGTTGACTGACAAATATTTGATTTAGAGACTTTAGAGTGTCAAAAAGTTGGTCTGAGTTTCAGTGAGCAGGGTCATAAATTTAAGCATGAGAGAAAAACACATGGAACGTAAAAGAGTCGTCAATCAAGTAGATGTTAAAGCTAAGGCACAAGTTTGTCATCTAATGACAGATTCAGTCGAGAGATTCAAAAACCAGTATTGGCGTGCAACTTGCTTTTAAGTATTCATGTTTTAAAGCAGCGCATACTTATGTGACACCTCAACAAAGATGGATGTCAGAAAGTTGTACCAGAGAGTAAAAATAAAACTTCACCCTGCCCCGAATTTTTCCGTTCAACTTCAGTTGTTTCAGTTTGTTCACCTTCTCTCCATGAGAAAATGATATTATAGTGGTAAAGCCAACATGAGTCAGTTGTTTCATATATAAATTTAGCACTGAGTCACATCCACCGCCTTAAAGTGATCTACCCACTATTTAATTCATGTTTGGATATGTGCGCTTCATCAGCTTCACAGAGTATGAAACACCTCACTCGTTTGGGAATTTTACTCTCAGCTAATACTTTTGTTTGCTTTTTAAGAATCACTTATACTCAGTTCACTCATACAGTATGAATTGAGGGCTGCTCGGTGTCTCACCTGGCCGGCGATTCTATCCAGGTCTCGGGTTCCCTGGGAGGTAAGTCTGCGACCACTGACAGACACAGAAAACAGCAACAATTAAGAGCGGAAAGCGAGAGTTTACAGTGGATTGCATCAACCTATAAAACAAAGTCAACGATCGATACACAGAGTGCTGTAGTCATCAGTGAGTGTATCTTTATGCCACATTGACCACAGTTTCACAGACAGGTAAAGCCGAATATCAATAACCCATCTGTCCACACAGGGAAAAATCACTCATTATTAACCCTGAAACAATGGGCTATGCAAAAATTGTTTGGGTCATTTTCCTGCTCACTTGCGCTGAATAAAAACCGAGTTAATCAATCAAAGCCTTTAGTGCGGCGCGGCTTCATTTATTGTAGACTGAGCGAAATCAGAGATTGGTCGTTTGAAGGTTTAATGCACTCAGCATCACAACTTCTGGACTTTTTCCAGTCGTACAGAATTAAAATGCAGATGTATGTGTGACAGAGGGTGAAAATTAATGAAGGCCTGAAGAAGCCAAAGTGACACATCACACAACATGAGCAGAGTAACATGCATCAGACTAAACGCAATGTCATAAGTCACAATTGTTAAGTGTTAACACTGATTTGTGAACCCTTTATTCAGCTTAAGAATTACATATTCAAAGCTCTGAATGCGAAGTTTTATTTAGTAGATCTGTTTGATGGTGGTACTCACCCGTTGGGATCCTTCTCAATCATCTTCAGCAGTTCAAGGGCCTGCAGCACCTTACGAGCAACATTTTTGGATCCTACGCTGTAGTGAGCAGGGCACACGCCGTTCCTCTTGCGACCACCGTAGATCTTGGTCATAGATCCAACACCGGCACCTCCACGGAGGTACAGGTGGCGGACTGTGGATGCTGTGGGAGAAGAGGAGATAAGGTTGTCACTATGCTGCTCGGGCATCGCTGTGCCGCTTTGAGGGTTCACTTAACATAGAAAAAACGCTAAGCGCTGGGATAAGTGAGCTCAAGGCCGGAGATAAGAACCACGCTGGAAAATAAATGAGCAGAGTGTTTTATATTTCATGAGCGTGGCAGAGAGAGCAGAGATCAAAAGAGAAGAACTTCCACCCATCACTGGAGAGAAATAGTTAACTTTCACCGTCTTCTATACCTCAGAGAAAAGGCATTACAGCTGATCTGTACTAGAGTTTAAGAAACAAAAACACAAGTGTTTTTCACGCTAATTGAGATGTGAAATCTACTGAAAAATGGTGTCTGATAACTGTTGACAGTGGTTATTCGGTATCTAGTATCTCCCTAAAATCTTGAGCTTCATGGCCAGATGTCTCAGCGATAAGCACTTGTGTTAAACACTGAAGTAGGTCAGGTTAATTGGGCAGGTTCTCTCAGAAAATGTTTATTCGGCCACTCTGGGTCTAAATCAACCAAATGAGAATCACAGCAGGTTTTTGTGCTGACGTTTATGGGGGACAAATTATTCCACAAAGCTTGAACTGTATGCCGCGCGGCTTCCACAAATAACTGTACATCTGCTATGCAATGTTAAAAAGTAACAGTTCTTCTGGGAGCTGCATCAGCTTCCAACATCAGCATGTGGTTGAATAAAACTGCTCCGAACAGAGCTTCCTATAAACTGGCAACTCATTAAGTCCAGCTGCAGGCTTTTATAACGCGGGCTTAACTTAATAAAAAGATATGATTTAGAGAAACGCAATTAAGCGTATGTGGTTATTTTACAACCCTTGGCCTCTACTTCATGGAACAAGGGCAGAGATATACTTAAGTCTCTAAGCGACTAAAAGCCTGACCGGGGACAGGAGTTGCAAAATATTGTCTCAGCATACAAAACATCACGTACCACAGATTCTTAGTAACAAGCACAAGTGTACTATGTAATTTTCATTGTTCCCATTAATCTAACTATATCAATAAAACACTGCATGAACTATCACATACAAGGGCTGTGCATTACCAAGGGTCTCACCATAATTAAGTACAACACTGTGCAGTAATACAGATCAAAACATGTTCATGTAGATGCTATAAAATGGTCACAGAGTCTCCAATATCTACATAACCTATGTCGCTATGAATATTTTATTTTAGTTTGAGGCCTTTGAACATCTTTATTGCAGCCATGTTCTCCATGCTGATTAAACTTTAACTTGATCTTCACCCAGAGGTGAGAGACATTATGTATTATTTTGAAATGTCAGTCTGTATAAGGAGTCATTAATGACAAACAGGTTATTGTAGAAAACCTGTATAATTTTGTGATTGTACTTGTAACTGCATGTTTAACCACAGCAGTCAAACAACCCTGCCATGCGATAATCAGCTTAACTTTGTGTTTACCCACGGTTCCTGACAACAATCTTTTACACAGGTAGAAGAGTAATAACATAGATATAAGTCCCTGCTGTGTCATCCTGGACTATAGCTGATGTTGAAGCCCTGGATAGACCCACACAATACAAACAAAGACAACCAATTCACGTTGCTGTGAAGTGGCAGGCGTCAAACTTGGGAAAGAGAGAAGGTAATTTCGCTGCAAGACTTTAACCTCTATGCACACTCAGGGTAAACTGCAGCGTTGACCCAGAGAGGAGAACTGATTGGTTATTGAGCATCCATGTCTGCCTGGCTCTGCACTGCCAAGTCATATTTAAAAGCGTCACATAGTTGGCACATTTTTTCTTGAAGAGCCATCAAAAGACACAGTGTGCAACAAATGGCCAAACTTGTGTTTGACAGATTAGAGAAGATTTGATGGAGCTCATTGAGGTAATATGTAATCAAGTCATCATATATCTCTACATCAATAGCAGAGTTTATGCTTTAAGTGAGTCCCCTAGGCTCTGACTGTATCTCAGTGGTCGTTTCCAAAATCACTTTAAATAAAACAGCTGTTTATTATAAAATGGGATGTATTCAGAATGGGACGTCACCAAATTTGTGCTCTCGCATTGACAAAGTAAACAACAAGGTAAAGACACTGGATAAGGTGGATAATGACTTGATCCAAAACCAGCTCGAGTGTTTAGACTCACCGGCTCTGATGTAGAACCAGTTCTCATCACTGGGGGCCAGCTCTTTATGCTTGCCCAGCTTGACGAGGTCCACCCAGTCAGGCACCTTCAGCTTTCCTGACCTAGAGACAGGCAGTAAGAGTCAGCATGAGCAAAACCACAACAATGCCTATAATAGAAACGGATAATACATTCTGTTATCATGATCGCTTTATTTGTATAGCACTTAAAAAAAAAACCAGATGTTTACAAAGTGCTTTGACATGTAGTCGTAGAGCACATGGAAAAAGAGAAATAAAACAAAAGGATCAATAAAAATGGAATTGAAGGCCATTTTCATGTCATAAGAAACCCAGACAATACAAGAACCATGCAACATAAAATGAGACCATGAGGACCAAAATAAAAACATAAATTCGGTAAGAAAAAAGGAAAATGCAATTGAAACGGGAGGACGAAAGCGGAAACATGATAGTAAATATAAAAGGCAATATCAACAATGATAATAAAATAACAGGAGTACTGATAATAATAGTAATTATAAAATAGAGCAACAGAAATGAGCAAGAGATGTAAATTGTATCATTGTAAACTGGCATGGCATGCGTCTTAAACATTCTCAATAGCAAATCCCCACATTACCAAATCTTACTACTACTACTATTTTATGGAAAAGCTTAGTTAAGCTATACACTGGCAAGCCTCAACAGTATGAGCTTGTACAATCCAATACAATTACTTCACAACAAAACATTTTTTCAGAAGCTCCTAAATTGTCAGTTTTGTGTTGTTATGATCAGATGGGTAGTTGTTGTCCCTTCATATACCACTAAAGCTGTGGTGATGGTGGTAATGTACTGGGGTGCATTAGATTTGAACTTGTCCTCTTCATTATCAATTTCAGCAACAATTATCCACTGTGTCTCATCAAGACTGGTTATTGAAAAGTTACCTGAAAATGGGATTGATGGTAAAGCAATTGTATAGGGTTGCATTAGATAGCCAATGAGCTCAACATGTTGCAGATGGTTGGGTTATATCACTGTTACTCAGCAATGCATGCGTCTGAATGAAAGCTCAGACCAACACATCACCAAATGACCAACTCCCCTTACGCTATTTGGGTGTTTCTACTGTAGCAATAAGAAGATTTCTGTTAAAAGTCGTTATACTTACTTCTTCAGGAAGGCCGCCAGGGCACGGACAAACTCCTGCTGGTTGACGTCTTTCACTGTGACACCTGGCATCTAAAGGGCACATAACAAACATTTTACAACTGCGGATATTAAGAGGGAATGAGAGCTGGTGTTATCAGATTTATCACACTGTTATAATGTGGCGTAAAATGAGCGGGTGACGGACAGGACTACAATCGTGACCCACCGTTACACATCTAACAGACGAGATGGTAGCAGCTACATCATGTCAACTCTCATCTATTGACCATCAACAATTCCCATACAAAATCTGAAACTCGTATTCAGTATGTCGTGCTAAAATAAACAATCACTCGAGTTTTATTTGTAAGTGAGGGCTGCTGACAACATGCGTTCAACCGGCTTTGACATCTCGTGAATTAACGTTAGCTCATAGCTAACATTACTGGAGCTATCCTCACATAATACGTCTTTCACCTCAACCCTGACCATTACGAGACAATTTCCTATGGGTTTAAACATCAAACACACCAAATCGGATTTGATATTATGCACACCGACTTAATATCCAGGCACAAAATGCGAAGCTAAATTAAGAGGCTAGTAACTAGCTAGCAGGCCTCAACGAGGCAGCATGGGGGCAGCCATTACTAACAGACCTATACCGCGAGCGCAATGTTCAAGAATTATCCGATAAAACGAACAAATACGTCTTAAAACCTTGTACGAAGCTTGGCAGTTGTGTTTAACTTTACGTTGTCTTCTACGTTAGGACGTTTCGAAATTTAAAGCAAAAGAAATGAGAATATTTCAGGTCATTTCACCAAGGGAAGGAAAATAGCGCTTTACCTTGCTTGTGGACAGCGAAGGGAAGAGGGTGGAACGGGGTTTCCAACTCGTGTTAAAACGGGCAGATCTCGTCGGGTAACGCGAGACCGAGGAGTTGTTTTTTCCATCGATGTGGCTCATCACAGTGTACCAACCGCATTGTATTTGTCAGCGACTGAATGACATTGCTGTTCACACATAGACGTTTTCTGTATTCAATTTTTACATCCAAAGTTATTTTTTTCTTTTCTTTTGGCAATACTTGTGTACAGATTTGTAGATTTGTGAAGATAAAACTCTCCTTTCGGGACATTATATTGCAGCTATTATTTATCTTTACGTGCAGACATAAATGGAACAAAATAGACTTGACTCATTACAATTCTTCTTGTGTAATCTGTTCTCCCTGCCCTCCTCTGGGTCTCCACTTTCACAGTTAACAAGTATAGGCTCCTAAAGCTGTATGAAAAACTGCACCCGGCAAGAGTTATTTTAATCTGTGTTTTTAATTGCTTTGTGGGTATGATTTTGTGAAATGGAGCCCCCTCGATTTGGTTCAGCATTCCCCCCTGCCTGGAGCTTGTCCCTTTTGGCAGACAGTGGGAGAGTGATTTGTATAAACACTGACATGCTTGGTTGACTTTTTGGAAATATAGGCATATTTTTCCACTGTCGGCCCTGCAGTTGAACAAAGGTTATTTGCCTGTAAAAATTAAAGTGAACGATTCAAGCACACAGAACCAATTTTTCAGGCAGTTTTAGAAGCTTCAGCCTTTGTCTATCAGTTGTTTAATAATTATTTTTATTTTGTGTGTTTGCTGGAGAGTATTATGAATTTATTTTCTCTGTGTTTCTTAAATTGTCACCAGAAATACATGGATCATTCAAAGAGGATGTCTTCCGTTCAGATTTTTTTAAAGGGTGTGCTTTCTGTTTGTTTAGCAACAGTGAAATCACTGGTGCTGTGTGCTTGCTTTGCTTTTAGATAAGACAGTGAATACGCCTTTGAAATCTAATGCTTCCTCTGTCAAAAAAGCCCATTACCTCAGACGTTAAGGGCTGCTTCCCCTTATTTTTCTTGGTCTCTCTTAAACTGAACAAGAAATCAGGATTGAAAGACATCTGAGATAGATTAAACAAGCTTTCTGTTTATGCATGTTTGTATATGCTGATATTGTGTGTGCATGTGTGTGTGTTCGTGAACTTTATTTACATATTTCCCTGGCTGGCAGAAGTGGTGTTGCCCTTTGCACATTTCAGATGGAAAGGGCAGCCATGCTCCAACATTGACACAATTGATATGTTTGCAGAGACAGGGGAGAGAGATAGAAGGCAGGTGGATAAGCAGAGGTTTATGAATCAGGTTTACACTCTGTCAGAGGGGGCAGACAGTTTAGAGTGAGAGGTGAGATAGATAGAGATACTAGGGGGAAATAAAAGGCAGCAGAGTCATACAGGGGATAGATTATTAAGCGTTGTATAAACTATCTCTGCCATCACGGGGCTTCACACCAGGTAACTGTGTCTTTTAATTCTAATTTACTTATTTGACATTAAGGCACCGCTGGCTCTTCATCTCTAAGAGGCTTTGACCATTCAGCAAGGTTTGGCCTTGTCTCTTCAGTGTTGTTTCTTAGAGTTCAATTGATTAATTAAGTCAATTAATTACACTGGGAGTGACCAGCCACCATCTTCAATTGAAAAACTTGCACAAGGTGGATTAAACTCCATTAATTACTTCAGTAAATCAATTTTGCCGAGGCCCTTTGAGTGGCGAGACAAGAGACAACTGTGTAAAGTGATTATGATGCCGTCTAGAGGTTATTTCTGACAGTTATGATTATTATAGAAATGTGATGATTTATGCAAGGGTCAAACTAATTATGTGAAATGGACATGTGTCATATAGCTGCAGCCAATCTGCCACTTCAACTTTCATACAACCTGTTTTATGTAAGACTGTTGTTTGAAATTACACCGGAATTAGCTGCCAACCATTTTTGAATCCATTTGCTGGAAATAACTCATTGGCGGAGTAAGAGCGTTTGTGTGATTGAGTGTTAGTGTTCATGTATTTACTCATAAATGTCTTGGCCTATTTGTGTCTCAGAGAGTATGAGCGTGCAAATACTGCATGGTGGGCCAAAGGGAGCAGAGAGGGAAAACAAAGGCGAGGGAAAAGAGGCGAGAATACAGAGTGTTAACAGTGTGTTGCCACCCGGCTCGCTGCTTGTTGCTCTCTGTTTGCATGGCACTCACATACTCGGCGGAGAAATTCTGTCAAGTCTGGTCTGGCCTGACCTTTTCACTCTCTAGGCACGTTTGCAGCTCTCCAATACCTATCAAAATATCTGCTCTCTAACTGTCTCTCTGCCCCGAGCACAAACTTGCATCACATTCTCCATCCTTTCCACATCTGTACTTTCTCGCTCTCTTTCTGGTTTTATCATTCTGACCTACACCCCTATGCTTACCCTCTAAATTTCCTTCCCTTTGTCACTCCATTCTCATTTGTATTCCCTCTGTTTTTGGTCTTTCTCTATGTTGAACGGTTTCTCTCTTGAGAAAGCAAGTTTAACGCTGCAGGGTCTGTCTTTGCAGGAACAGCCACGTGGGAGCACAGGGGCAAAAGTGGCAGATAGAGTGGGAGTGAATGAGTCTGTATTTGCATAAGTATGGATAGATTTTTCCTTTAGTTTTTGCTCTTTAACATTATTATCAGTAATGTCCTTTTAACTGTAGTCAAATATATTCTCCCTTTACTAGCCTCTCTCCCCCTCTCTCTCTTTCTATATCTCCCCCAGACATGATGGAATTCATGTGGCTGTACTCCCTGTGCCAGTGTGCAGTGTCTGTATCTGTGATCGTGGTCAGTGTGAGGTTGTGTGTTGCAGTCAGTGGCAGCCGCATTGAGGAGAGAACCCAGGGTGCCCAGTTGCAACCTGGGAGTGTGTCATGCTGTCTGCGGCTGTGTCTTGGCTGGGTGGGGGCTGTTGGAGGTGCAACCGGGGTCCCTGTTACTGTGCTGCTTAACCTGCGAACCCCACAGTGTCTGTACACCTGCATCGCCCTGGTGTGTTGCCCCATGCTGGTCAGGCATTTCACCATGTTCCTGTTGATGCTACTTACCCTGGATGCCCACCTGATGCATCACTTGGCAGGCAGGTGAGTCTGAAAGATGGTTAAGACATATAAATTCTTGATACAAGCTAATAAAAATGTACATTCATGTGGAATAAATAACCACTGACAGAATATGTAATATATGAAAAATTCAACATATTTGCTTCTCTATTTATAAATGCATATATTGCTTTAATAAATTCCCTGTGAGTGTGTGGGAGAGGGTGAATAAGTGGGTGGTGAGAGTCAACAAACACTTAATGGTGTTTGCAACAGTATAGGAGGAAAATCAATAAAAGGGTAGAAGGCAAAAAAAAAAAGCAGCAAACATGGCAAGATGTGCCATTGAATGGCATACTGTTAAATCGAACTAGGCGGCTTGTTTAGTGCTCATAAGCACATAAAACACACGACCATGCAAAACACAGGGGTGAGAAAATACAGATAAGCTCCAGGGGTGTGAGATGTTTGATTGACAGTGACCTATAAATCCATCCCTTTAGCATAAAAGAGTCAGTGGTATGTTGTTTCTCCATCAGTTACGCACTTTGTGTGAGTGTGATAGGCTATCTATTCACGTACAGTATTACATTATTTTCAAGGGAAGCCACTCATGGTAAATGTAGGAGCGTGCTCACAGGTGTAACAGCCCTGCGGAAAGCTAGGAAGTAATCTTTAAATCTATATCAATATTTTTTTATATAGCTCCAAATCACAATAAGTGTTATCCCAAGATGCTTAGCAAAAAAGCAGGTCTGGACCAAACTCTGTTTACAAAGACCCAATGTAAAGATGGGATAAGATTAAGCCCCATCTTGAGAGATCAGTGTTCTATTGTTGCTACTTATAAGGACTAATGCTCATCGTGCGGGCACAGATTCACAGAGAGTACCTTTTTTACTTTCACTTCCAGGTATACCTCAGTGATGACTCGCCAGCGTGCCCTCTGTGTGGTTCTGCTCTGCTGGGTGGGCTCTGTCCTCTCCTCTTTTGCCCAGTTTATCGGCTCAGATGTCCTCAACACGTGGAAGAACGGCGGGGCTGGTTCAGGCACAGCTGGCCATGAGCTGAATGACAATTTCACCACCTCTCTACCCACTCCTATCCCTCCCCAGCCCCCTAAACATCACTATGTGCGCAAAGTAATAGGGCAGTACCTCCCATATGGAGGCTTCCTGTCAAAGTTTTACGTGGAGGACATGCACAACTTCACTTATGCTGAGTTTCACAGCAGCCACTGGGGAGTGTGTGCCCCTGATACAATATTAAGCCCTGAGTTTTTGGTCTATGTCCATGGTATGACTGTGTTCATGCTTCCTTTAGTTTGCTTGCTGACGATCTACCTTGAGCTGCTGTGTACCAAGCCTAGTAACACTCCTTTTAGCCATGCAGACCCCCCGAAACAGGACTCCAGCCGGGTCCGATGCCTTGCTTTATCCTTGTCATTCTTAGTCGTGCTGTGCCTGCCGCTGCACATTATCCATGCCCTCTTGCTCTTCCAACCTAATACCAATCTCCCTGAATGGGCACACGCACTTGCTGCATTTCTCTTTCAGCTGTACAGCCTCGTACCCCAGATCCTCTTCACTCCTCCGAGGAAACACGGGGGGGAAGAACGGGTATCCTTTCCTCTCTCTGCCCCCCGCCTTCCTGCAATAGCATCAGTGAGAGGGAAGTCTGTGCGTCTGGCTCTGTGTGAGGCGGTGCAGGCAGCTCCGTGGGCTTCAGCCAAACACTCACTCAAAGCCAAAGTGTGCCCAGAGGTCTGAATCCTCAACACAGTAGAAGATTTATGTGGTTATTGTCAATGTAAACAGTTTTCCAAGATCTAAATTATGGTAAACGAGTTTACTCTTTCCACAATTTGTGTGCACAGAAAGAAACCCAAGCGACTGCATGCTGGAAGTAAATACATCACATTCCTGTTTGTTTTCGGCTTTTTAACTTTAATCATCAACTGTGTGTACACTCATTACGAATAACTCTGCGAACGAAAAGGCCAGTTAATTACCAGGTCCCACACCAAATGTCAGAACCAAAAATTAAGTCTCCAGATGATGACTACCATCCTGATCACAGATGTCTTGTTTTCTTCCGCTGCCCGTCCTGTGGGTCTTATTCTAAGCCTGTTCTAAGTCTCTGCTAAGCCAGCCACCGGTAATGTAGATGTATGAGTGACAGCATTTAATTAAACATTTGGTAATAACATAGTGGTCCAGAGAGGATGCAGGAATGTAGGGGAAACATCATTAACCTGGTGGCTGTTTTGATTACACTTGTAAATACAATGTGATGCTCTCCTGCAATAAAAAAAGAGCCTTGCTTGCACTAATTGGGTTGTTCATCTTGAACTGTGTTGGTGTAAGAAATCACTGATGGAGTAAAAAAAAAAAAGTGAAAATCCATCTCTTATTGACCCTATTCACACTCGAGCCATTTTCCTCTGATGTAATGCTCAATGTGGGAGGTCGCAGTGCTGTTTTAATGCCTACTGCTGACTTGAAGCTTGTAACGAAGGGAATTACACCAGACATTATCAGTTCAACACTTCGAGATCGAACAACAACTGGAAAGACTGAACGGACTATCGACTAATTATGAAGCCTTTTAATATTACTTGGTGACTTCATTTAAGCTCTCTAATGCCACTATCAGTGTGGGAAGCTTGAATGTTAACTCTGCTTTGTTGCAAGATGCAAAAATTTCAGTAGGTGATCAAATGTTATCATCACTGCACTTATTGATAAAAAAACAACAACTCCAACTTGGGAAAATCCAAAGAAAACTGGTTGTTATAAAAATTAATTCAACTTTTTATGAATACAAGTCACTATAATAATAAATTGGGAAACAGATTTAAAGCTTCAGTGAGTAAGTTTTTTGACCTTAATGAAACAGACTGAAATTGATACTGGTGCCTTTTCATGATAACCAAAAGCAAACAAGACCATCAACAACTTGACATTTGATTTCCATGCTGTAATTTTGAATGCCTGTATGCCGAGCAGCTAATGAAACAATCCTGTTTTTACAGTTTCCTCAAAAAACAACAGAATTTGACACAGTCTGAAAGTGCCTCACAGGAGCTTTAAACTTACAGTTATTGTAATCTAACACAAACAAAAGGACCTTATCTAGTGACCATTATGAATAAAAACCAAAACAACTGTTTATTAGTAACATTAGTCATACTAGTCATATATTAGCCAGGGCTATGCTGATGCTGAAATCAGTTGTTGTCAAACTGATTTCTCTAAAAACTGCATTGATGCTCTTAAGTCTTTTTACTTTGATCTTTTCTTCCGTTGCAACCCAAAAGCAGTGAATTCATTGTTAGAAACCCATATTAGCATTATACTATCATTGAAGTTTCCTTTCTTGAGCATGAAATCAGAAGAAATTAGCTATCCTGTACATGTCTGTTGAAGTGCAGCATCCAAATATCCGTCCAGATTTGAAGATTTATTTCCTCATCAGATGCCAATTGCAAAGTTAGGGGTGAAAATGACAACAATAAACATTTCATACAGTTAAAGAACAAGCCAGAACGTGGGTATCAGGTATTATAGCTGCTTATAAACTCTCCAGCCTGAGCATGACAACAGAGAAAGTGGAAGCTGTGTTATTATGGTCTGTTGGTTGGAACATAACCATTACCCTTACTCTCTGGGTGTAGTTTTATCCACCTCTCTTCAGATCCACCCGTATCTATTTTCTCTCCCCCTTCTAATGTCTTTCCATCTCCTCTTCGTGTTTTCAAACAATGCTGTAAAGTACAGTATGTCCTCCATCACTACAAACAAAAAACAATCTGACTGCAACACATTATTGATGGAGAAATCTGGTAAGTGGTAAAAAAAAGATTTTTCCTGCTTCTCTAGCTCAGCAGCCCATTCAATTGTTCTGTGTGAGTCTCTGCTTCCTGATTATGCTCAGCCTCGGCTCACTCAGCCACCTCAATCAATGCCTCATGCTATGCTACCGCTCTGTACACACCTCTTTGCCTTGCTTGAGTCCCACCGTCAGGACTGGTGAACAAAAGCTGTGCTGGCCTTCCTTTAAAGGTCATCAGGGCTGGCTTAAGCAGATTGATAAAACTGTCTGGTGTACAACTGGTGTCTCACGAGAAAATACATTTAAAAAGTCTTTTGATGGACTTTTATATCTTCTGCAACTTGTGGAAAAGATTTACACCTATCATAAATGGGTCATAAATGGGATTCTCTGGACTGAGCCCGTTCTGGGACATTAATCGGTGAAACCAGCACTGTAGAGAAGCAGCATGAGTTATTCATAGATTTCTCACTGTCGTTAACAGGCCGTATTATTACTGCATGTCATAAACTCAGGCGGGAATACAAGTGGCTGTTGTCTGGCTTGTCCTGCTCTCATTTTCGCTTATGTCTATTGATCGCATAATCGTCGTCTATGGCGGTTTGATTGTCATCAAGTCTAGAAGAATGGTATCATTGTTATGGTCAGAAAACAGTCGGTTTCCTAAGACACAGTATTCAAAAGTATCACAAGCAATTATGCATCAGTAATTTCATTGAATTTAAAATCATTAGATCTTTCTTTACCGAAAACATACAAAAGACTTCTTCCACTGACAGTGATTTTCGTCCTGGGTGTTTCGTCCTGTGAGGAGAAGCAGAAATAACAGTATCAAACAAAGACGAGCAAGCTTAGTGCTGTGAGCCCAACAGGAAAACATCACACTGTTTGAAGGACGCACACACATAAAGAGACAATATTCCCTGTTTTATTACTCATCGACCACAGCTGGTCTGATCGCAGGTGCTACCCGTGCTACCTCTGCGTCACCATGAAGATATGTCTGCCGTCGATCGGTGTGTGCTTCTATGTGTGCGTGTGGATTGTTTGTTGGCCACAGTGTCAACTCACGCTGGTAGCGACTGGCAAGTCCATTACTTTGATTGCCATTTGACAATCTGTCTTTATGACAGGCGACCGTGGAGCCTCGCCATCGATAGAAGAGAAACACATCGATCTATCACCCGGCGACCTCCGGCGGCTTTCAAATCTAGCCCCGCGCACAGATGGACATGTTGAGTGCTTCTCGACAGAATCGGGTATTGATTGCGTGGAAGTTAATGGCAGAGTCATATTTTTGTGTGTGCATCTGACTCAACCCTCCTGTCGCCCTTTCTTCCCCGCTATCTGTTCTTGTGATTCATTAGCAGTGCCACAGAACCTTCTGGTTTGTTTATTCTGTTCATTGCGGGCTGCTATTTCTATCTGCTCTCACTCCTTTTTATCCTCATCTTTCCACCTTTACTTCCACCATCCTCTTTTGATGTTATCATATGCTCCACTTATTGTTCTCTGTTTGCAGGACTTCAAGGAAAAACAGCCTCTGTTCAGAAAAGAGACCAAAAAAAAAGGCAGTCTGATCCCAAAGGTTATTTTTGGATTCTTTTTTATTTTGTCGTGCTTTGTATCTTTCCCCTATAAAGAAATAGTTAGCTATATATCAACAATGACACATGGACTCTAAAATAAACAAGAGTGAAAGACAGGAGAAGAGACGACTAGGCACAGGAGACGAAGAGAGAAAGCGAAAGAGAGAGAGAGGAAAAGAGAGGAAAGGTAAGAGTGAAAAAAGACAGCAATTTCTCTACAGTCGAACCAAAAACAAACCATGGGAAGTGTACATTTCTTTAACATTTACAATTTTAATAATAACAACGGCAATAATAATAATAATAACATTAACAACAATCATAATTGTTCAAATAATAATAATAATTAATAAAAAATCAATAAGACCTCTGGTTTTTCATAAAGACAAATGATTTTTTTTATTCTTTTCTTCATTTTTCTTTAAAGATCACTGGACAGTAGTTTGTTCGGCTTTGCGCCTCTATAGGCTAATATTCTGTGTTAGTATATTTGTTTCATAACGCGTTTCAATAGTAAACTGGTTTCATATTTCTTAAAAGTTTCCTTTAATTTATGTTGCTGTTCATTTTTTATACAAATAAGGACTTCAGAGATATGTATACTTGTTCTGTGGACGTGTGTACTGTTCGTATGAATGTGTGCATGTATCTGCATATGTGTGGTAGCATTCAGAAAAAAATATCCATCCGTCTGCTTCTCTCACTCACTCTGTTTTTTCTTTGCTATCGCTCCTCTTGCCCTTCTTATGAAGACTTTTAAAACCTTTTGATCCTCTTAATGACATTCTAAAATAATTAAGCTTTTCTTTAATGCCTTGGCAAGTCATATTCATTTCTTCGTTGTCAGGAACGCAGCCCAACACTAATCCTTTCATTATTAGGAGCCAACAAAGGAGGAGCGATAGAGAGAGGGAGGGAGGGGAAAGACAGAGAGGGAGAGAGGTTTAAGGGGGGAGGATGTAACAGGTGAACCGGGAGGGAGGAGGAGATTGAGGGGCAATTAAAAAGATAGGTGTACAAACTTTCACATCAGAGGCTGGAAGGAGAAAAGAAACACAAATCTTGTTTCTCCAATAACCAGAAGGAGGAGAGGGGGTTGAAAAAACAGAGCGGTTAGTTTGTCGAAAAGTCTGAATACTCCTCTGGACTGAGTTCTAACCCGCTCCTGTGTTGTTAAAGTATTAAATACGAGTCGAGCTCTGCTGGAAAAGATGCTTCGGCAATTTAAAAAATTTCAATTTTCTTGCATCCAGCGCTCAATAGCTCCTGGTCAACTCATCAGCCCCCCCTTCCCCTCTTCTCTTCCCTCACATGCTGCTCCCTCTGCCTCCGCCAGTTAAAGATTGAGCTTTGTGCAATGGATGGTTTTCTCCAGGCGTGGAATTATAGCAGTCATCTGCCTCTAATTCCCCTTCCACTTTGGCGGCTGCACAGGCGGAGTGCCTGTTTTCTTTGTGCTCCCTCGCTTTCCTCTCGATCAAAATAATTATGGCGTCATTTCGGGGGGTTTTTGTGTCTGCATTCACCTCAGCCTCTTCTCCTCCTCCCTCCTCACTCTGTCTCCCTCTCTGTTTTCCCCGGTTTGTCCGACTAACAGTGTATATGGCACAGTCGTTAATGGCTGGTGGGTCTATAGGCTTTCTTTTTCTCAGTCTGTCTCGGTGTGTGTGCGTGTGTGCGTGTGTGTGTGTAGGACATGAAGTGAAATGGACTGGTGGGATGTATTGGCTGTGTGGTATCTGTATACAGTCGTTTTCAGAAGGCCGCCTTCTATGGCGCGTTGTATAGAAGTGTTGGTGTGTGTTTGTGTGTATACTGTATATAAGGTGGGAGACAGGGAGAGGGAGAAATAGAGGGGATGAGGTCAGAAGAGAGAGGCAGGGTAGTGGGGGAAGGGAAAGAGAAGGGCTACAGTAGGTACTCCTTCTTGCCCTGGCTGGCGTCGTTCCCGTTGAGGAAGGCCTCCTGCACCTCCCCGTGTTCATCCAACCCACTGGCCTCATGGGTAAGATAGGAACCTGTATGACGAAAGATGGAGAAAGAAAGAGAGAGAGAGAGAGAGAGAGAGAGAAAGAGAGAGAGAGCGAGAGGGACATTGGAGGGGGAAGGTTAGGTGGCAAAGCGTCATGATCATTGCGGCGCCCATGCAGCATTATCAAACCGATCAGGCTTCATATTATTGTACCTGTGACTGATTAATTCATTAGTTAACTGATTGTTAGGTCAATACCAAGCAAGAATAGGCTCTCGGGTACGGTACGAGCCTACAGGCGGAAATTAGAGGTAGTGGAATGGACAGAGGAGGCAGAAGAAAGAGGAGGAGGAGATAATAGAGAGGAAAAAGACAAGGGAGGGAGGGAGGAGAAATTGGCAGAAAAAGGGGGTGGAGGGGAGGTTAGGTGCAAAAGAACAATGGCACTTTTGCGTCACTCAGAAAGCCATTAAAGACATTTTAACACCCCTCCGGTCTGTTTGATTAATGATTCGGTGCAGCGCGGGTTACAGGGAGCAAGAAGTGCTTAAGTCATCTTCCTGCTTGAGTGTCCCTTCACTCTCCGGGGGTGAGTGACACTCTCGTTCTCTCTCGCCGTATAGTCTGACTGGCATGCTGACAGTCACAGCAGACCGAAGACAAAGCCTCTAATGGCTCTGTTTCAACATGGTTTGCTTGTAATAGTCCTGTCTCTGTACTGATTGGCAGTCAAGCCAAACTGAATGTTGACTGACGGCTTGTCTATAGTCAAAGGGGTTAAGTAATGGCTGGTTGCTGCCCAGCTATATGCTGCTCCCAGATCAGTTCTTGGCAGCTGTGGCGCAAAGTCGAAGGCTGCCAACTGGGGGGCACTTAAAAAGATAGGGAGCACGAAGAGGCTGCTTTTAATAGATGAGCCTTGATACACTAACATATAGTCATAAAACATGGGGACCACACCTACATTTCCCACCCCACCTTATTTCTTCCGCTGTCTCAGCCAAGGTCGTCCATCACAGATAGCGTCCTCCTGCAGAGGAGCATCGCATCCTGTCTGCTTCACGCTGACAATTTTACACCTCAGTTTGAAATATTACTTTCAAGGAATCCAAGTGTAACTGGCCTGCAATTATTTTTTCACAGCATGCTCCACCAAAAAGCGGGGAAATGAAAGAACACGTCTGTGAAAAATGTGATAAAATATCCTCATTTTCAGAGCGTGCCCCCTGCTAGTGAGAGAAACTTTTGTGTGACATTGTGTCTGTGTTTGTAAGCGTGTGTGTGTGTGTGTTACCTTTCTGTCGGACAGAGCACCAGATGGTAACGATGAGGACGCAGATGACGGTGAACACCAGCAGTGCCAGAACGCCACCTATCACCGCATACGGTACTGCGCTGTGAGTCTCCACCACTGCACCGGGATCTGAGGAAGTACAAAAGAGACAAATAGCGCGTGTGGGTGGAGGAGAGGGTAAATATAAAGGAAAGTATAGAGATAAAGGGAGAGAGAAGTGCTGGCAGGGAATCAGGCAAAAAGAGAAATGGATCAAAAGTGAAAGCAGAAAAGATGTTAAAGGGAAAAAAATATAAAAGTGAAAGAAAGAAAGCACATTAAAACACCAGCGTGGGAGAGAGAGAGAGCTTACAGGGAGTGAGACAGGAGAAAAAGAGTCGATATCTTCCACCCAACTTGCATTAACACCTCTCATCACCCCCCTACAGCACAGAATGGCAGACGGTGAGAATAAAAATGGGTGAGAAAAAGGTGCAGGAATGAATAGAGTGAATAAAGAAATACATGTCAGCCTCTGAAAACCCACTTCAGCCAAGCACCTGTCAAGACCACAATGCATTTTAGATGAGGAAAACTTTGAGTGCGTTTACACCCTGACTTGTGCAGCCCCCTGGAAATAAAATCAAGCACTTCACCTCCAGATTCAGTGACACTGTGTAGTAGAATATTGGAGTAGATGGAGGGAATTATTTGAGTAAGGCTCACCTTATATCAACTTTAAAACGATTTAAAATAAGGACCACAAAAAATTAAATAAATGAAAAATAAGAAAAGAAAAAAAAGCTTTTGTTAATGATAAAATTCTAGGTCAATTCAGTATTTTTCATCATTTAAAATGCAAATGATGACAGATTTAACAGCAGGTTAATTTTTTTAAAAATATTTAAAAAGTTAAAAATGCTAAATGTCCCTTTCTTTCTAGATTTTATTGGATTTTTTTTCTATATCCTTGCAAAAAATGCCCTCAGATTTCAGGTTTGACCAGGCTTCATTACACCTGATACACTTGGTAACATCTTATTACAGGATGTGACAAAAAGGGGGAACTGGAATAACTCTGACTCTACAAAGTTTGTGTTTAAGACAAATAAGCCCTTATATATTCCACCTTTTCTTTAGCAGAAAGTGCAGCCTGAAAGGTTTCTGTTTGCGTTGATTTTGGTATCAAGTGTTATCTCACATTTTTGTTGATTTTGTCCTGTGAATGTTTCAGACAGCCTTTGAAAACCAAAACATAAATTGTTGATGGTCTTGAGGTATCAATCATTTCTATTTTGAGGCATGATCAGTCGAAAAACTCCTCATATACATTCTTACTGACTGAATGATGAATCCATTAGTCAAGGACGTTCTCAGTAAGGTACCTGTTTGTTGTACACCTTACAGATCCAAAAGCAAAATCTTCATAGCGAGTGTAGCTGGGCGCTGTGTCACTGGTAAATAATGACAGATGAGAGGATTGACAGAGCGCAGGAAAAAATGAAAAAAAAAGAAGTGCAAATGGAGGTAATATGTGCCTTATTAAAGCAGGTCTTTGAATGTGAATTCAAATACTGAGGTGTTTCTGAGTCGCTGACAGTAATGCAAGTCCTTTTTTTCTCTCTCGATGGGGTTTAGTATGTGAGTGAAAGAGCCGGTAAGGCCAATCTGAGGCAAGGACACAGAGTTATTGATGCAGCTCATGGACCTTGACGGCGCAGAATTAAAACATGAATCATTAATACAGAGCTCACGCACGGAGATCACCAAAGAAGCACAGAGTGATAGTGGAGGGGGAAGTAAAGGAAGAGGAGCGGTGATTGACAGCAGAAAAAAAAGACGGTGCATGAATTTCTTGGTCAAGTGTGTCATTGAGTGCTGTGGCGAGGAGTGTCACATTGCTGCTTGTGTATGATCAAGTATTGGTGTGTGAGTGTGTGTGTTTTTAAAATGAATAAAGCTGTCTTTGCTGCACAAAGGTCATGTGCGATACAAGTGCTTTAAGTGGAATGAGATTGACCATGAGATTGGCAGCCATTTTTCTCAGATTTCATGTTCAGGGTGGAGAGCACAAATGCTATAATGGTTTCAAGCAGCTGAGATCTAAGGTATTATCCTCATACCCTTGGCCAGTAGCACAACTTTTCTCACTTTATAGTTACACTTATGCATTTAAAGAAAACAGCATTATACTGTAAGGTAAATACAGCTTGATGAGTGCTTGTTTTGGAGAAGACTCTGCATTCTATGACAACAAGTTGCCAGCAGGGGGGGTGGCACAAGTTATGGTGAACCGCTCACAAGCATAAGTCCATATTATACTGCTGTAAGCTGAACTCAACCACCATGTATGTATCTGGCAAGATGGCAACGACACTGGTACTTGAAGGAGCTTCACATCTGCATAGAAACTAGTGCTGGGATGATATGCTTCTCTTCCAATTTGATTCTTCTACGATTTTTTTGGATGCCGATTCGATTTAAATTGCGATTCTATGATATCGTCGATTTTTTTGATTTTTAGTCTTTATTTTTAACACCAGTTAAACAGTTGAATGATTATGATTGTCTACTGACTATTCCAGGAACCATATTTCCCCAACAAATACACATCAAATGTAAGTCAGGTTTTAAGATCTATTCTTAAATACATCTATATAAAAATAGATTTGAACATATAAATCAATTTTTAAATTGTAAAACAAAAAATCGCGATATTATGCAAATCGATTTTTCCGCCCACCCCTAGTAGAAACTGCACATTTCTGAACACAACAGAAGCCTTCATGTAGGAAAACATCCTAAAACCTCCAAAGTGGTTGAACACCAACATTAGCCAATGAGTTTTCAAAAGCAGTGTGAAGTGCTGTTAACTGTTTTGAAATAGTTTCACTCATGTACTAATGACCTACATGATAAAACAAGATTATTAATGACAAGATCAGTCTTTGCACTGATTTTTTGTGCCTATTTTCAGACTGGGTTTCCTACAAAAAACTAATATCTATTAAACACTCGTCTGGAGGTGGCTCTGTTTAAATTTTGGCAGAGAGAACAAAGCTGAAAGACAGGAGGAGTTGTTTTAATTTTCTTTTTACATAATTTTTCGTACCTATGGTTGACACTGAGCGTGGATTAGCAGAAAAACGTATATGTGCCCTGTTGAGGTATTGTTTCAGAGGGAGAACCTGTACCACCAGATGAAAGAGCGAAATGACTTTGAAGAGGATTTAAGGTCTTTGCTGTGAAAGCCTCACTGCTCTTTGAAACGAAATTAACCATGTTCACGTTTATGTTATTTGAACATTTAGCGGGACACATTATGACACTTGTTCTGTGAAAGATGATGTTAAACGGGTAGATCTGGACCCATTTGTAACCTGATTAGCAGCAACAAATCAGAGTTTGCACTGTTTTTATTTCTTTTGTTATGTCGCTTAAAATCAGTTCATGATCTTTCCGTTGTTTTTTTTTTCTTTTCTTTTTTTTTGCGAGTTTTTGCCTTTTATTGATAGGACAAGTCAGAAGTATGGGGAGATAGAGAGAGAGGGGGGAGGATATGCAGCACATGGTCGGGGCCGGACTCAAGGCTGCAACCACTACGGGGCCGTGGTCCCCGAGGTGGGGCGTGCTACCCTGCTCGGCCATCTGAGCGCCCCTCTGTTTGCATAAGATTTTTGAAAGAAAATCGATCACGTTCATTACAAATGCATGTGTTTGCAAGAACACCTCAAAACTGTAGGTGTTCGGTGAGATATTCTTGAGTAATGGTGACCTCTTTTAGAAAAGGGGTCACCAGGGTCACAATACGATATGAAACTTCACAGCGTCTTAAAAACTCCCTATAGTGCCTTTAGATATTTTTCTCCAACCTGAAATAAGGTTAAAGCCTATCTGGATTGTTGTATTCTTTTACCTTTTGACTTACTTACTGAACAGGAAGCCTTAAAATGATTCAAATTGTTATAATACCAATGCCGAAAAGCCTTACAAACTACAATACAAAAGTAAAATGCTGTACCAGTGTTTTAACTCTCTACCCTTAAGTTATGTCGAAGAAAAATTGGCTGTTGTGCAAATTTAGTAAATGGCATGGTTGACATTTAGTAAATTTCTCAGGGCATGAAAAAGAAAGGATTCAAGTGCTTTCCCTTTACCTTGAGCCCTCGATGTGCTACAAACACGGCTGCCAAAAGCTCCATGAGAAATATGCCAGTATGAAAAAGTGCGCCGCTTCAAAGAAAACCCCCATAAATGATGCGTCACCATTAAACATTCACTAAACTGCTCAAGCTGCCGCTCATCTTCTGACTCTTTATGACATATGCCCGGCAGGAAAACAACCTCTAGCTGCAGCAGGAGGCAGAAGGAGCTAAAGAAGATCAAGAAAGATGCTCTGTTTCCCCCCGCTTCATATCCCCTTAAAGAAAAGGAGACACAGAGCAGCTGAAGGTATGGAAAGAAAGGATAGCGGAGTGTGAGCCAAGCAGACTTTATTTCTCCTGCTGTGCGGCATTCATCTGGGGGAAACGATTAGAGAACCACCTGGATCCCTGATCTTTCTTTCTTTAGTTCTTTCTCTCTAACTCTCTGTATCTCTGCGTGCGCGTGTGTGTATGCAGATAAATCGGTTGTGTAGCATCCCCCCCCCGTCTCTCCAGTGGCCGGCGTCGGTCGGCTTAAGCCTGCAGGGTCTTGCCGGTTTCCTTCAACTCCTCACGCAGATTCATCTTCAGTACTCACCAAGCACCAAGACACCAAGCTTCTCAAACCACACACATACACAAATGCTGACTGGGCAGTGTGTGTGTGTGTGTGTGTGTGTGGAGCATCAAAGAGCAAGTGATAAGAAAGAAAGAGAGAGGATGGTGTTTGTGCACATAGAGCATCTGCAGGCACGTACGCTCATGTAGATGCAGGGCAAAGGAAGGTTATAGGGGAAAGTGTGTGTGTGTGTGTGTGTGTGTGTGTGTGTGTGTGTGTGTAGGCCACCTGAGAGTCATCAAATGAGTATGGGAGTGAAAGACACCAAAGGAGAGCAGGGAAGGTCGAGCAGAGATAGCACAGGCGGAATAAAAAAAGCGTGTGTGTGTGTTACCTGTGGGGTCCGGGTAGACTCTGGGTATTAGGCGGGTTGGGGTGGTGGGGTGGGAGGTGATTGGTTGGGTGGTAGGAGTAGGAGGGACCGTAGTAGTGATTGACACATTATCTACAGACAGACAGGGAATGGGATAGCAAATACACAAATGCACATACACAAACGCTACAAACATGCAGTGACATTTCAACAAAGGGGATGCAGGATTTACAGGCAAGTTACGACGGCACATAAAACAGGACACATGCTTTATTATTGCTGAATAATAATGACTCTCACAGGCTACCATAGCTCAGCATCCAGCTCTATGAAGCTCTTAGACAATCGTCCCAGAGGGAGTTCGGTTATTGTAATAAGTTTTGAGAAGAGAGAGGAAGAGAAAAATGCAACAACTGGAGGGAAGAGTTATTTCAAATATGCTGATCAGCATCCCAGGCTGATGCCATTTCGATACGAGTGACAAATGTTGCTAATTATTTTCCCAAATTGACTGTTTGTGCGAAATGGAATCGATCTGGACTCCTGACAAGCGATAAGGACACGGACAAATGGTGTTTTCTGGCAGGCCTGTGGGCCCACAGAGGGGGTTAAAGAAGACGTTTACAATGGGAGAGACACACTTCAGAGCAGGGGCTGAGGAGAATTACACCTGGCAGCGTGACATTCATCTACGATGCAGCAATCGGAATATATAGGAACACATTCTCTATCACTGACACATTTTCTATGGCACAATGGCAGGAGAGACAGAGACATTGTCTGTGACAGATGCATTCCCAATGGGACGGTGCCATGCAGGGACTGAATCATTCGATAGAGAACAATAGCTTGGATCTTGACACATTCTCTGAAATCAATGGCTGAGACACAATGGTAGGTAGAGAGAGGCAGAAAGAGACAAGTTCATATTGGCGTTAAAGACAAAAATAATGGCTGACGAGAACTGAAAGGATGAAGGAGTGGGTGTGAAAGCGTGTCTGTGTGAGCGTGTTGGCACTTAAGAAGTGAAAAGCACGCCGCTATATCAAACAATCTCTGTAAAACGGAAACTTGCAAAGATTTCCATGTGCTTAAAGAAAACGCACACATACTCACACATAATGCTGATCGTGTACTCGTACATTAAAGTCTCTCAGGCGTGTGCACACACATACACAAGCCACCAACACTAAGAAGCATAATTGGTCATGTATACACACCCTCAAAGACAAACGCACACAAACGCACATGCACACACTGCCCTTTCCTGCTCAGGAGTAATTTATTGGTAAGTATTCCTCTGTCTCTTCCCTCCCTCTCTCCCTCTGGCCCTGAGATCATCAATCTCTTTTTGCACTCTTCTTATGTCAGCACTATACCTCCCCCGTTCTGTTACTTCTTTTTTTCTTTTCTTTAAGCCCCACGCGGTCGTCTCCTCGTAAAGAACTGTACATGATGCACCGAGTATTTTGTGGGGGAGACAAAAGGCTGAAGTGAGTTTTTCTTAGAAATAGAGTAAGGGAGAAAGAAAACGGAAAAATTACCCAACAGTTACCTCAGACTGTGTATCTGCAGCTGCACTTGTGCGTTTGTGTGGATACTTGTGTGTGTGTGTGTGTGTGAGTGGTTGTCATATAGGCCTGAGGATTAATGGCTGGGGGCACCGCGATAATTAACTGGACCATGATTAATTTCTCCTCATGATCTAAAAGTGTTCTTTCTTATACTTCCAGTTTTTAAAAAATCTTCCTTCCACTGTTTTTTTGTCCTTTCCTCTCACGGTTCATCTTCTTCTTCTTCTTGAGCCAGACTCCTTTTCCCTCATTTACACCCCTCCTCCTTCTTCTTCATTTGTCTGCGTCTCTGGTTTCATTCCTCCGTGACTTCGCTCCCTCACAGCCTCTCTTCAACTTAATTAAGGAGAATGCCATACAGCTGTCGTACTCTTGGCCGATAGCGTCATTTTTTTCAACATCATATTGTTATTCATTAACACTATATGGCTGCCAATCAGGCACACAGCCCATGTTATTTCCAGGGATGGATGTGGCGGCACTCGCGATAATGACGTTTCTCCTCGTATCTCATTCTGGCAGAAGTGTGCCTGAGGATGCTGCTGCTGCCATTTTGGATGAGTCCTGTTATTCCTTCATGTTCGCTGGTCCTGATTATAAGAAGGCCTTGCCCGGAGCAGTGGTAGCTCCAGCCGTCAATCAGTGAAATGAATGCTGGCCACTGGTCAGAGGTCCACAGCTGAGGCCAGAGAGGCCAACACTGATTGGCTGAAGACTCGATCAAAATTCTCTTAGACCCCCGATAGAGCTGTGTTTGTCATGTGGCGAGGTTCACAGTTCTCCGTACTACGTTTCCCGAACAAAATTGACTCTGCATTATCATTATCTCCGTCTGGCTTCCTTAGTCACAAGCCCCCAACTTATTTTCACTTTCACTCTCATTCCACATTTTTTTCTTTTTTTTGTGAAAGTCTCACTTCATTAAATGGAGGTCTGTGTTTTTCATTCCAATTATCCTGACGGCTCATTACAACAACCGAGGAGACACAGACTAATCCCTGGTCAGCTCGTATCCCCCTTCTTTACTCCATGTACCCGTCATTTTTTTCCTTTCTTTTACTCCACTCTGCTTCACCAGGAGCCATTCTATAAGACCACCAGTGTTTATCCCTTACAGGTATATAAACACAAAGTCAAGTACACATACTGTATGTATATGACTTACCTATGCAGATAAACAGTTCTTTCCTCTACACCTCTACCTCTCCAACTCACTCTCTTTCTTTCTTTCTTTCTTTCTTTTTCTCTGTCTCTGCATCTCCCACACTCTCTCATGCAATTCAATTCTAATGGGTTTTATTGGCTTGGCGATTCATCTGAGTGCAGCAGTTCAGTTCAATTACATAAGGGAGCCCTCCAGGCTTTCAGCAGACAATCTGGAACATTCTCCTCTGAGTCACATGCACACGCTTTCACGTGCACCTTTGTGTATAGACACACGCATAAAAAAAAAAAATCCAATTTGTGTTTAACAATGGTGGCACAGAGATGAAACAACCAGCGGAGGCCGCATCCTTTACACAGTCTGCAGAAACTCGCTCTGTGTGTTTCTGCTCCGTGATTCATTCGACCATATTTTCCATATTTAGAACATTAACGTCTTTCTGGAAGCTGCAGAAAAGTTAATTTCATTCTTAAGTTGTGAAACTCACTATACGTGCACTACGATGAAAAATATCTCATTCCTCTTGAGGATCATTAACACAAACACAGGAATCCATATGCTACCAGCTGACGTAAGCTATTTTTACATAGGCCAATTAAAGCTGGAAAATGCTTCTTGCAAATAATCAGGCAGAAGAAGCTGCTCTGATCTGATTCACTCACAAAGAAATGTAATCCTGACATCGACGGTTGGTGTATTTGGGATCAATATTCGTGTAAACACTTCATCTTCCTGTTATCGGTAGAATCATTCAGAAAGCCTGTATAGGGCCAGTGTGTCTTTAGCTGCGTGTACATGGGCAGAAACTATCGGAATAAAAATGCATCATGTAAACATGTCGATTGGAAAATTCTGATCCAATTCGGCTCAATCCGAAAGAAATTGTATTCCGGATGAGAGGATTGGTTTATACCGATCGTTATTCTGAAACACGTCCATGTAAACACTTATTCCGATCGTGACTCTCAAACCTGACTCGGTCTTCACGCTTTAGCTTTTGGCTTATTTATTGAGGTCAGTACATGAAGTTTCATTATTAACACTCAACAGGTGTGTACCTCCCCCTTCCAAGAACACAACAAGGCGTACATACAGCGTAATGATGTCACATCTGCACGCACAGTGCAACCTTTGAAAAAACAGTAAAATAAGTGCGCAAGGGCGCCATCTAGTGACAACATTTAACTGGGGGGAACATCCTGAGTTGGATGAAGTGAGCCACTACGGCGTTTGTTGGTTTGTTGACAGCACAGGCGTCAATACAATTCTTCTTCTGCAGTTGTTTTAGCAAAATCAGACAACTCTGCGCATGTCCAAATGCTTCTAATCTGAATAAAGTTTGGTGCATGTATACACACATTATTTGATTTTTGCGCCCATATCAACAGTGGATTCAGATTTACCGATCCCTCAAACTCTTAACCGGATCAAGAAAATTTTGCTGATATAAACATGGCTGTTGTGGGGAAGAATAGGACCATAGCAGGGGCAAAGCAGAACTAGTCTTCAGCTGATGTATCTTATTTTCCTTTAAAAGAACTTGGATGTTGGAAAAAAAGCTATAATATCAGGTTATATCATCAAATCTTCATTTTCATATTCAGAGTATGGGTAGCATGTTCTGATACTGTGCTGCAGAACTTTTATTTTGGTTTGCAAAAGAGACAAATGTGCCACCAAGCTTCTCCGTATAACTGGATGTACTCTGTGGTAGAACACCCTGTTTCTGCAAATCAAACACTCTTTTTCTTCTGCTATTTGTGGCAGATTCTACCTGAAGTACAACTCTGCGCACGTCGAAATGGTTTCACTTGGATTCAATTCTTCTTGTTTTCGCTGCATACTTTCAACAGATCTCTTTATTTTGCAACCATGCCAGCAGAGAAGTTGAACTGTCTGAACGGAATGATTTTAATCTGGTTGAAGACGTATTGTACACGTAACTAAAGCTCATGATGGGAGCGCTGAACAGCTTTCTGGGGCTCACAGTATAGCCAGTAATAAGGACTCTGGTCCAGGACTTCGTTTTCTCTGTGTTGCCCTTTAAACCAGCATCTCAAGACAAAAGAGAGGTGATTTTCTTTATTGCTGCACAACACTTCAGGTTGAAATCCCTTGCCTGCACCTGCGTGTCGAGATAATAACTCATTAAAGCCAATAGACTCATACTCCTAGTTGAACGTGTGACCGTGAAGTCAAATAAAGCTTAGCTTTGACGCATCACAACTTTGCAGCGGTCTGCGCTCCCAGGAGCATCTCCTCGCTCTCTGTTCTACTGTGCCAGCATTAAGCTCGACTCCCTTCACAGAGTAGCAGCGCCTAAAGCACCTGCGACAAATTGGCAGACACATTTTTCCTGAGTTTGTACCCGGCATTCAGACCCTGATGGCAGATAACTCTCACAGAGGGAAGGTTGACATAAAATGAGATGGAAGGAGAGAGACGAGAGGGAGCGCTGCTAGTTTTTCTGCACCTGCAATAAAATCATTCCTTTTCTGCTGACTCATCCTTTATTACACACATCCTCCAGCGATCCCTCCTTTTTTTCACCCCTCCCTCAGTGCATCCTGGGATTCCCTCTGGGAAGGCTAGAAGCCAACTCAACTGACATCCCGTTTATCTGACAAGCTGCAGCACTGAATGTTAACCTGCCTCCGACCTCCGTCGTCCTTCTTCCCTCCCTCCATCTTTCTCCCCCTCCTCCCGCAGTTACTCTCCCCTCTCTCTCGCCGCGCCGTCCTGTCAGAAATCTTGGCCTTCTCAGAGCGAAGACACTGAACTGCAGCTGAACCGAGAGCGCAGGGCAAAGCGGTTGCAAGGTGAAAACGGTTGAAAGGGTGTGGGAGGAGATGAGGGAGATGAGGAAGTGGACAGGTGGTGTAAAAGAGGTGAGAACAGCGGGCTGAGTCAAAAGACAGTGAGGTAAAGAAGACGCAACACAGGATAGAGGAAAACAGCGGTAGGAGAAAGAGAGAGGGAGCGGTTGAAATTGTTGTGACTGGAAGAGAAAATATGCCAACAGAGAAGATAAGAGAGAGTGGGATGATATTTTATGTTTTTTTCTAACCTCTAAAATCTGTAGGTAAGCGGAGAGCCTCGCCACAAAACGAGATATTCACATTTTGAAATAAAAAACTGAAAAGTAAGACACCTACTGTAACTCTGTGGGTGCAGGAACACTAAAAAGCAGGCTGTGGATAAGTGTTTGGAGTTATGAGTCACTTTAGCATATTTTACAGAGAGAGGAGTCATATTTCTTTTCAAAACTGACTGATGAACTTTGTGATCAATCGTCAGGAAGAAACACTTCACCAGCTGCTGTGAAAACCTACACAGACGGAGGTTTGATTTGCTCTTGCAGCGATGTACAGAAAACACATAGGCACTTCTAACTTTAATTATCACCTATATGCAAAGACTCAATTTGACATTTCTTGATAAGAATCAGCACCGAGTCCGCAAGATGATTAGCTTTGACTCGGAGGAAAGTTAAGAGTAATTTACAGTCGTCTGCACGTTAATTTGATGGCTGAATCAACAACCCTGAGCTTTTAAGATAAGGTTTGAAACAATCAACCCAGTGGGCAGGAGCATTTTTTTTGAAGTACAGCAAAACATTTCTGATGTGAGGCTACAGCGGGAGGATTTAAGAAACTGATTGCTGGAAATCCGCAGAGCAGACGAGCCAAAGCTTGGCTTATATGCTCTGGTCTTTTATGGATTTTGGTTTTGAAGCAAGATATATTTTTTTTAACTTTAAATGTACCATTTTTTAAGGAAAGAAAGAGGATAAGAAATGAAAAAAAGCAAGATAAATCAAATTAATGATCAGCAAAGAGCAATGGGATGAAATAAAGAAGATGAATGATGAAATGTGGGGGAGAAGAAATGGGCACGGAGGAAAACAAATGAAGATGACAGCTGAGAAATGGTACAGGAGGCGAGCTGAGGAGGATGGAGAAAGACGGAACATTTTTTACAGTGGTGGCAACGCACATCAAAGCTCAACGTTTCTAACCTTCGAGGAGAGAGAGCGAGAAAAAAAAAGGCACACACGAAGACAGAGAGCAGTGGCGGGTGGGAGGGGAAGTGGGAGGGGATGTCACCTTTCATCTTGCTACTGTTGCCACCCTGGATGCCTGTGGAAAGCTGCCATTACGCGTGCTGTTTGAAGCGAGACGTGCACGTACGAGGACTAATCGTGTACGTGCGTGTGAATGAGGGAAAGCGAGGGTTAGTGTGATGGAAAGATGAGGGGGCACTATCCAATAGCAGCCTAAAATGTTACATAAGATATCATGTCTCTATTCCCTCCATGGGCGCCTCTGCCTCTGATCTCCTGATCAGGTGCTCGGGCGCAGTGACAGGAGCAGCCATAGGGGGGTGTAGATCAAAAGGGCAATCCTGCTGAGCGACAGTAGTGTGCGGGTAATTAGGGCCAAATGCAAGCGCATTGGATATGAAACAGCAGATCCATCTAATGACGATCTCGCTCCGTTAAAAACCCACCCGATCTCGATTTTGTGCTTATTTGACTGCAAATTTACCCAAGTGTTTCATGAGTGGATTAGACCACACTCACATGAACCAAAAACCTTGTTTTCTTTTTCAAATGTGCGTCAAACTCTGACAGAAAGTTGTCTAATTTGTCACTTCTGCTTTGAAAGATAACTTTATGGCGAGAGACGAAAGCCGCGGCGCCATCGCCTTTGAGTCTTGGTGTGCAGTTTTTCTGGGCCAGCCGTCATTAAGAATTCAGAAACCACAACTGAATCCTGGTGAAGCGTCTTGGAAAACTTGGACAACAAAAGCCTCCTACCCACATCTTCTCCTCCACAACACTCTGATACTTCAACTCCAGCAACAAACAAAAATGAATCGCCTGAATATTAAACGCAACATATGCCTCGCTGTTGTTTTCCGCCAGTAACTCAAAATTTCAACAGATTCAGCAGTGCATTAAAACTCTTCACCTACTGTCGTTGTCCTTTATGTGTTTGCTTTTATTCTGCTTTTATCCACTTGTCCCAACTTCTTGTATCTGTATTTATTCCAGCTGATGATTTAAGTTACTCTGAATTCCTCTTAGAGACGATAGGGTCACAGGGGATAAGATGAATTGGTTCTCCACAAGATACAGCTTGAATAATGATGTTGGTGACTAGTATCTAAGCACGGCAGCCAACATTTTCTTGTGGGATCAATATCTCAGCTGAATCAATTGCACAGGAGGTTTAGCAGAGGTTTCCTGCTGTGAACCAACTCAGGAAAACAAATAAAAGCTGAAAGACAGATGAGACAAACATCCCATTTAATGGGTCTGTTGCCCGATGTAGGAATAGCCAGACTCCAAAGACGGTGTGAAAAACGCAGAAAATTCAAGATTTTTCTTTAGAAACATCATCAAAAAAACAAGAAGAGGACTGTGACAAACAAAAGATCCTTCGAATTTAGAATTATTCACTCTGAGATGCCAAGAATAAAACTGAAAACACAAGATCCGCAGAATCAAACTGTTAAAGCTCGTCCGATGAAATATATAAATGCAGCCATGTTTACTCACCATACACCAATAGGGTGTAGTGATCAGCGGCGCGACCGTAGTTGTTCTGAGCCTGGCACAGGTACGTCCCGTTATGCGATTGGCTGAGACGGGAAATCTGAAAGGTGGGGCCAGAAATCTCCGCCCTTTCGGGTAAGGTGTCGTTAATCTTTGACCACTGAATGTTCCTGGGCCTGGAGAGAGACAGAGAGAGAGAGAGAGAGAGAGAGAGAGAGAGAGAGAGAGAGAGAGAGAGAGAGAGAGAGAGAGAGAGAGAAAGAGAGAAGGTTTCAGTTGCTAGCAGCTTACATGTGAAGGATTTATAACACGCTTTGTCTCTTTAAATTTACAGCCATGCAACATTTAGCTGCTAATGTTTTTAATTATGTATATGCCTGAGGAGATCCTATTATGTATATTACACAATTAAGACTCGAGGTTTTCACATCAGGTCAAATTTATTACCAAGGCTAATGCTGCACTCTTAATAATGTTAATAATTGCATAGTCGATATTGTACTGTTGATTTAACTGTAAATAATGCTGAATGAACAGCACACAATGTAAACTACACAGAAGACAATGGACTATACTCTGCACGGTTGATAATTTTAGTGCACAGTGGACTATATTTTTGCACAGTGGATAATGTACATTGTACCACAGGTAAAGTACTGTAAATTGCGAGGTTATTATTGTGAATTGTGTTGTACGTAATGTGCTGAACAGTGCGCATTATGTCCTGCAAATTGCACAGTAGTTAAAGTACTGTATATTGCATGTTGTGCATTTAATGGTTTATTATACATCAGGAGAAAAATACAAATACACAAACACTCAGACGTATTATTCTTATAGAAAAACAGTTAACGCACAATGTGTAGTGGGGAGCCGGAGGAGAGAATAATACCCCAGACACTGAAGGTGTGAGCGTCAGTGGGGTGTGACAGGACAGTGTGTACTGCAGCACAGTGTGCTTATGGCTCGGAGAATAAAACTGTCTTTATCTGTCTTTATGCACCGGAACAGTTTAAGTGATTCAACACATGCTTGTGAAGCTTTCGAGTTCCTCAAAGTCGTCTTTTCTTTCGCTGCAGTGAGAATTATCAGATTGATAGAATATAAGTATAATGAGCTTACACTGGAGTTTAAAAGGGAGCAACTTGCAAACTCAAAAAAATTACCTCTCTAACTACGCTTGAACATTACTACCAGTGTTCAAGACATTTCGGCAAAGCTTAACCGCTAAAGGGTATTAAAAATTAGAGTGAAAGGAGACAAGGGATCAAAGCTCAGAGCTCAGGCACTGAGGGATTGCTATAAAAAGAGGGTGAAGATGGAGGGTTAGAAGCCCGCGGGGGGACTATGACATGAGAAGAAAGTATGAAAGGGGTTTGAAGAAGCAGCCAATGGCGTAAGAGGGTTGTATCCTGACAAATAATGAGGAGATTGATGGTCAGAGGGCAGCCATGGTGTGAAAGGGTTGGCAGGAGGGACAGGGAGGTAGATGAGAGAGAATTAGGGTGTCAGATGTGTGGGGTGAGGGAAAAAAAGGGGACAAGAGGAGTGTTACTACAGGTGGAGGAAAGAAGAAGAGACGTGGTGGTGGGAGACGAAGGGAGGGAGCAGACAAAATGAATTGGTCATGAAAGACGAGCAAGGCAGAGCAGACAGGAGGTGCGAGGATTACAGAGACATCCTGGGGAGCAAAGCTGTGTGTTTGTGTGTGTGTGTGTGTGTGTGAGTGTGAGAGTATCACGGCTCCTGCCACCCCGGCCAGATTACAAACCTGACTCATCTGAGTTCTAATCCCCCAGGACGTCTAATTAGACCTCTTTCTTGCTTAGTCACACACGCATACACACACACACTCACTTTCTAACACGCACAAACAAAATCTCCCTCCCTCTACAATACACACAAACACAAATTATACTCCCACATGCAGTAATTCCTTCAAAGGCTAACACATAAACAAGCAGGCAATTAAGCAAAATGACAAAATGTCGTCTCCATCGCTCCTTGAAAACAATGAGAGTCCCCCTCCACAAAGAGGAAGTGGCATATAATTGGTCATTAATACTTAACAGGCTGTTAGGAGGGCAAGGGAGCAAAGGAGGTGGCTGCAATGCATGTGTGTGTATGTGTGTGTGTGTGTGTGTGCAGTCCAGCGTGGGATAAGGGTCAGACTCCTGCGTGGCTTCCTGTCCCATTTCTCGTCATCACACGTGCATGCATGCATCACGCAGACACGCACACACAAAAACACACACAGTATCTCTGACCAGCCGTTACAAAGCTTTATTGGAGCTTCAGCCAATACGATCGTCAGCCAGTCCTCACTGTGGGGTTTCACTTAGCTAACACACTGACACACTAACACACACCCACACATACACACACACACATACTTTGGCTGCCTGAGCTGTATTGGGGGAGCTTTGGTGGACTTGGTGCCCACAGACAGACGGACCATCGAGGACAGGGTTTAGGAGCTTAGGACCCAATACCCTCCTGGAAAGTGCACAAAGGGATGTGAACACAGTGGGAACAGGATTTGTTTCAGATCTGGCACTCATAGTGTTGACGACTGCTTTGGTTTGGAAGCTGTACCCACACACAGACAGACACATACAAGTTTGTGATCAGCCTTGAGCTGCTTTTCTCTTCGGCCTTTATGCATTTAAATATGGATTATGTTGTTTTATACATTTCATAAACGCTGAACTTTCAGTGATCCCGCAGATAATGTGGAGCTCCTCCAGCACTGCCGCTTTTTAAATGTAGGACAACTATTTTAGATTTAATCAAACAGGATGTTGAGTACCAAACCGGAGTTGCCAGGACGTAAATCTGGGTGGATAGAGGGAGAACAATGTGTAGAACATTAGGGTGTGTGTCCCCTGACTCCAGTTTTGGTGCTTGCTGTGTTTATTTTCTGTACAAAACTGATGTAGTTAAGTGTTTTCTGCGCTCAGTGCCCTAAGGCAAGAAGGCCCATTTAACCAGCTGTCTTTGCTGCTGCGCTCAGAGCACCCTCAAACTTTTGAAACACCATTGTATTATGTTAATGTCACTTCTCTATCACTGACCAATTACAATAAAGAGGGGGCGGGACTTCCAATATTAGCTTGCAGGGAGTGGAAACCAACTATACTTTTTTTTCATGTATATATTTTTCAGGTAAAGAGCTATTGTTATACTACAACAACATTGATATAATTATTTTAAATCTTTTCTTTGTAATTAGATAAATAATAGCAAATATGAAAATTAAAGCTACTCTAAGGAGTTTTTGTTAACACTGAGACTGAAAATCAAATTGATGCATTTGTATCTTGTCATTTTAATGCATGAAACTGGTTTGGCAATTTAATAAAATTGTATAAATAAAGTATTTGATCATCAAAAGGCAGCAGGATGAGATTTTGTCGAAAAAAAAGGACAAGATAAGCAAAGACTACTTTGTCTACAGGGGGCGCCAAAATCGACACAAACTGAAGGTTCCTTATTAGAGCTTTAAAACAGACTTCACCATCACTTGTGTTGTGGGGCAGCTTTTGTAATCTAATAATTGTTGCTAGATTATGTGGTCAAAGCTGCTACTGCTGCTGCTGGCATAAAAAAACACAATAAATAACCAAAGCTCCCCTTTGCCAGGCATGGCATCCATTAACAGTGACACCACTTAAGTTCAGGTTAGTAAATGACTATTACTTTGGCTAGATATAAATTAAAAATAGTGTCAAATGTCTCCAATGTTATGTTCCCCTTTGAGCAAACTTGACTTATAAGCTGCTGCAGCACTTTTAACAGTAGTTAGGGCAAAAGATTGCATGCTTTTGTTCAGACCAGTCATCTGAGTTGGTAGTAAACACCATATCAATAAATGTAATATCAAAATGTTTCTCACTTGCGCTGACGTTTCTTCATTATATTGATAGAAAATGTGATTCTGACTGTGTTCTGTGTCAACCAAAACATATATGCTTTTGCAATTTTGTTGTAAATGAATGTAATTTCTTGGGAGCAGCACTGTGTGATTTCAATTAAATCTAAAAGCAAAATGCCTCTCCGCACTCAGCTTTCATCTTTGTGAAATTTCCTGTTTTGTTTGATGATTGTAGTTACATTGAAAATGCACATGTGATCTATTAGACACCCTTGGTTTAACTTCAATTGTACTCCAACAGATGAGGCATTTTAGATTGATTGGCCCAATGGGGCTCCTGCATCATTTGTGCAGGACAGCATGTGGTTGTGCTCAATTTCCTCCTCGTTTCCAAGGACAGATCTCAGAAAGAACCCCGAGATCCTGCAGTAATTATAGGGGAATATGTTGGAGTTGTTTTAGATTAGGAGTACTTGGTAATTACTTGAAGTTTCCAGGCGAGAACTGCGGAATTATGTAGGCTGGTAATTATATAGAAAGAGGTCAGCTAAGAGTTGATTTGAACAACACTTTATAAAAAAGAAGTGGTTTGCCTGTCATTTAACTGCCAGCTATTTTCAGCTCTAAAGAAAACATCCCCCTTTTTCTTCATAGTTTCTAAGTTTTCTTGTGTAAAAAGGTGATAAGCTTGTATTTTTCTTCAATACTGCTCTCTACTGCAGTCAGTGAATGTCTGTATAGTGCAGGTGGTGGCGACTCAAGGATATTTCCACAACACTTTTTAAGGAGGAAAGGATTTTTGTTGGTACAACCTAAAATATTAACAGTATATCTGGAAAAGCTGTCAGTGTCCACTCAGTTTCATTTACTGCCAAGAACAGATAAGGGTAGAGTTAGCATCACTGTTGCCATATGCATTCAAAATCAAAACACACTGAGGAAAAAAGGTCTGAAGAGTTGGGAAATAATGACAGCTGGATGTGACAGCTGCCTTAGGAACAACTGGGCACCAAACAACTCTGACAGGGTAAAGTCAAGCTAGATCCTCTACTTGTCTTACTGGTAACATACATATTTGAGGATTAAATCACAGTGAGGATTTTGCAGCCTACAAAAGTTATACTTATCCATAATGACCTTCTGTGTGCCGCAGTATATTATGTAATTTTTACCGTTTTTTGAAGAGAATCACGGCAGAGTGTGGCAAGCGATCGGACGTTTGACCAAGAAGCTCTAAATAAAGTAATGACGCACTGCAAAATGTGCAGCTAGAGAGAAAGTATATCAACACGACAAAGCATTTACTTTAACACGATGTGAATATGAGGGATTGTGCTGTTTACAATGCACTGCTGTCTCCTAAAGCGACGAATGTTGGCTGAACAAGAAGAGGTGGAGGAATGTCACCATGTAGCCTCTTGATTTGTGGTGAAGGGTCAACAGCGTTCAGCATTACCTGCTGTAATAACCATAATAACCATGATATTATCTTACACTGTAATTATGTTTTTGTTGTATTTTTCTTCCATTCATTGAAATACATTTTTGCTGATCTGTAATAATAAGAAAAAGTAATGTTTATTTTTAATAATGAAGGAAAAAAGAAAAATCCCTGTCACACTTTTGAAACCCCAAATTTTCTCATAAGGGAGGCTGATAAATGTTCTTAAAACCTCCTGTGAGGAACTTTAGGTTTGTGTCTGTTTTAGAGCTGTCTGTAGATGAAGCAGTCAGTGATTATCTTGTCCTCTACATACTTATTGAATTTCCTTTTGGAGATCAATAAACTTCTTGTTCTTGTTCTTCAGTAAACTTATCCAGCTGACTTTTCACAGTTAAATGTTTCATTTATCGTGAATATTTCATATGACAATTGTAAAAAAACAGGATTCACTCTTCAGCTGTGACCTACTCCACCCCCACCAGTTTCAGGCCATAAAAACTACAGTAAAAAAATAATCAATCTTGTCTCACAAAGTCTTGTTTGCTTTTGGATACAATGAAAAGGCATCAGGATAAGTTTAAGTCAATTTCATAACATGAAAAAAAACATCTTACAAGAGCTTTAAATATACAATGTTTTTCTATTTTACAGAAATAACAGAATCTGAATCCAGAAACACAGATGGATGGATGGATGGATGGATGGATGGATGGATGGATGGATGGATGGATGGATGGATGGATGGATGGATGGATGGATGGATGGATAGATAGATAGATAGATAGATAGATAGATAGATAGATAGATAGATAGATAGATAGATAGATAGATAGATCGATAGATAGACTTTATCGATCCCAAACTGGGAAATTCTCACAATAAGTATGTGACGCGTAGCATAAGTATTCCTGCAAAGGTCCTATTCATCTTGTCTAACAATGAAGACAATAAAAATGTAAAGTTTGGGGTATTCTGATAAACAAGTAAGCTAATGTTTTAACATGCTAAGTTGTGAAATTATATGTTCAATGTTAATTCACCCTGCAACGAAGCTAACTGGAGTCTGTTGCCATGGAATTAGTACCCTGGGTGGAATTTAAGGGGCCAGATGATCCTCCAGCTAATAATTTGCAGTTACAGTTGAAAACAAAAAAGCTGCATCCTATACAGAGAACAGGTGTTTATGCAAATTAGAATCCCTGCAGGGTGAGCAAACCCTGACACAAACTGAAGGGGTCCCACTCACCCTAAACAGTAAGACAACACAGTATCAGACAAAGACCTACAATAAGTGTCATGTTTGTCATTGCACAATGTTGAGAAAAACTCAAAAAACATCCATCAGGGTTAGGCTTATTCATTGCTGTGTGTTTCTTTGTTCAGGGTCTGGAAACACTTTGATATATTTTTTAATTTTTGTACATGTCTGACTTATTCCTGAACACACCCTTCAGTCTGTGCTGAAAGTAATATAGGACTTTGGTTTGCAATCATTGCAGGTAGCTGAATTCATGCTTATTTTACTCTGACACACAGAAAGGGGCTCTGAGTAAAAGCACAAACTGAACTCATCTACACCCAGTAACAATTTTACTCTCAAACAGATTGCCAGAATGAAAGCAGAGCCCTCCAGGCTTCTATCTGCCTGTGTGACTGCTACCTGCAGCTACCAGCTGTTTGGTGATGTTACGACCTAAATCTCATTCTCACAGCGGCTCAGAACAATTCCCCAACACCATCTAATGTGTGTACTCACTTTCCCAAATTACCATTTTAAGAAATTTTATGTTTGTAAGGGTTGTCATTGAACTTGGCAACCCCCCGCGTGTTGTTGTCAGTCAAAGGCTTTTGTGTTTTCTTAAGCTGATTTGTCGAGACTCTCGTGCTTTGTGGAGACGAACCTTTTATTCGGTCTGATTATTTTGTCAGAAATGTATCGTGGCAGGAGAGAAAATGCAAATCACACCGTTAATGCATGACAACCCAAAATAGCTTCTTAAACTGCGTTTTGTGCCTGCCGGTAAATGTGTCAGTGTCAGATTTCTGGAAGGTGAATGCAGCTTTGATTCTATTTCTTTTTCAAACGACTTTTTGAAGTTCAACAAAAGTGTATTTGTACCTTGAATAACCATGAACTCAAATTATCCTTCGTGAGTTTTTTTGTTGTTGTTAAAAAGTTGGTTTTAACTCACTTTTCAAAGAACAGCAAACGTTTGGAGAACAGACAGTTCTTCCTCTCATTTCTGCTTTTAATTGCTGCTAATAGAAACGACTCGTAGTACTTACAGGGGGTTCCCAGTGACGGAGCAGGTGAGGCTGAGCGAGTCGCCTTCCCGCAGAATTCCCGTGGGAGGTAAAATCCTCACTGTGGGTGCAACTGTGGGGAGTGAGAAAGAGTACGTCAGAGAAACAAGCATTCGTGTTAAAGCAGACAAGAATAACCCGATAGAGCAAAAAGGGATCAGAGTGATCAAAATAGAGGGACAATCAGAAAGGACAGGAAAACAATCAGAAATCAGAACCAACCAGTGGAGGAACAAAGTGGATGAACAAGAGAAAAGTGAGCAAGTGGCAGGAGGAAGGGTCTTTAACATCTGTTTCCAAGGCAACCAGCCGACAAGCCCATGGATGAGACACCTGTTATCATAAGCAGCCCACCGCTCCGGCAGCTGCTGTACTGCACTAACTTCAGTAACCGAGCGATGGGAAGCCAAATCCACTCTGACAGTTGGTCATTATTAGCAGTTCTCTGGCTGGAAGAACCTCCGACACACAGATTGACTCAAGTGTTGAATATTAATCATTCTGATCCTGCAACAAACATCGGTACACAAGTGGCAATTAATTGAAGCCAGAGACGTATGGGGGAGTACTTGCTGAGTCAGACAAATATTTCAGACTGCAAATCTCTTAAATAACATACCTGAGGAGAATTTGGTCCAACTAATATTTGTACAACCATATTTTAAATATATAAATACATCTGCATGATCACAGACAACATCTCGGTACTACTTAGTAGCAGTGCACGCCCCTGTAATAACCCCCCATAAAAATTGTTGTTCAGGAACTGCACGCAACATGCTTACTTGTGCTTCCTACCTACTCAGCTACCATAATAACCGTTATTCTCGTCTACATGCAACATTTTTGTTCTCATTTATAAAACGCTTAAATCTGAGACATTTCTCTAGCTTTAGCCGGGGACAGGCCATCCAATACGGGGACTGTCCCTGGAAATCGGGGACATCTGGTCACCTTAATCTTTGCTCATTAGCTTGTGTGTTGTACTATTTTATTTCTGGAGTTCGACAACATTGTGCTCAGATGAACATACTGGTATGGTGTTTTGATTCCCACGTGCCCACCATGTGTTTAAATCATATATTGGCTCTTAAAGGAGGGGTAGGCAGAAGTCTGTTAAAACAGGATCTTTTTTTGTGGTGTATGTACAAAAAAGCATTTAATATCAATCAACTGCTATTAGTCATCGATATGATATCGCTGTGTTTTGTTTTGTCTGTGTAGTCAACATTTAAAATTTTTTGAGCGCTCCGCTCTTTCTGACTGTAAACAAAGCTGTTCTCCGCCTCCCCCAACCTGATTGGTAGTCAGGCGGATGCTGCTCCCTCGGAATAACAGGCGCTTAAAAAGGAGGTGGACCGGACAAGAGCTAAAAAAGCCGGGTCGACAATGATGGGGGCACTTTAGGATCTTACAGACCCTGTAACCTTTCTGCTGGACAGGTAAACCACTTTAACAAAGTAAGCCAAGTGTCTGTAACAGAAGTGTTTCTTGTCAAACGGGACCTGCTGTAGCGTGTTGTAGCGCCGCTAAACTGTTTACCTCGGGTCCTGGACTATGTCACTTCATCCTAGTTGTAGAAGTTCTGCAAACATTGTGTTTGCTGGTAGTCTGTTGGCATCTACAGTAGCACCAATGCTTTTTACTTTCATATTGACTGGGCCCCATTTGTAGTTATCTGAAGTATTTATCTGCATTATATCTGAATTTAATTGAAACGATACAAGCAAGCAGGAGCGTCTATTTGTGGGCGGGGCTTGCTTAAGCAGAGAGAGAGGGGAGAGGAGGAGCTGAGGGGAAAACTGGTTTGGAGGGGTAGAATTTACATTCAAGATTTCTCCCCAAAACTGGCACTTTCTCAGATCCTGCCTACCCCACCTTTAATTTTGCTACTAAACCTGCACAAAGAGCATTGGAGAGCAAGTGCTTGCTAGTGAGATTAAGGTCAGGATATAGTTTATGACGCACTTACCAGATGGAGTAGTAATGCCAACAGAAAATAAAGACAAATGACAAGTCTTTGAGTAGAAACGCAGGATCACATAGTCTGCAGGCAAATACGGTCATATTGGTTTAAAGAGTGTGGCCAACATACGCAAAGCCAGCACCACAAGCCTTTGTTTCTCCTTGCAGGTTAACTTCCACATGCCCGTGCTGGCTGGGCATCGCTCCTGTCAACTTGTTGTATGTCAGTGTCGCCAGTCTACATGAAACTTAATCCTCATTTTCTGGCTTGAAACGCTGACAAATTGTGCCACGCTGCGAGATATCATCTGTCATCTGTGCTTGTTTGGATCACAGCGGTAGAGCTCTGCGTCAATAATTGGTGGGACAGCCCAGCTAGTTGAAGGTGACAGGGCTGTAGTTTAGACACCACACATGACTGATGATTTCAGGCCTACAATGACAACAGCAATTTGTTTAACCAACTAGTAATTTAAAGCTGACAACATTTCATCATTCAGTTGATGTATCAGCTAATCTCTGAAAAAGCTTCTGCTAGTGTCTCTTTACAGATCGGATTTTGATAATTAGTATTCTTACTGGGTTGGACGCAAACGAGTTTAAACTTCGGGCTGAGCAGAAAACCCAACATATTTGAAAAGACTAGAAGCCAAATAGATTTCCATTCAAATGATATTAAATGTTTTACATCAAACCTTTCATAAAATATGATTAAGATTAATGTTGTATGATGTAGATTAATCCGTTTGAGCCTTCTGCACAGATTCTGGCTTAAAATAATGTACTTCTATCTGAAGTTGTTGCCTGTAGTGAACACAAGACTTAAACCAATTATACATTTAAATCTCTTGCAGTTTGACTATCTCTGTTTGCTTTCAGCCTGCCTCGCTCAGACATATGCATGGAGATTTCAGCGCATTAAAACTTATGTAAATAAGCCTGAAAGGATCCAGCATCTGAGAGTTATGCTGGGATCTCCACGCGTACTATGACCCAGGTTTTCTCAGTTGGTGTTGCTCGGCCTCTCGAGCCAGGACCCTAACCTGGCTGCAGGCCGGTTCCCGACGGCTCCCTGCAAGACGAGATTTTCTGTACTCGGTTTTAATGAGAGCAGGTCTCACACAGGGGCAGCTCAGAGTGACGCTCAGTTAAAACGCTGAGCTGTGTTTTAAATGAGCTTCTTTCTTCAATGAGATTTCCACCATTTGAAAAATGAGGGCGCTACCCAGTCGAAATCATTGCTGGCATTAAAATAAAACACACAAAATGAATGGTGGTGCAGTCACAACTTAAAAGACTGCGATACAGATGGAGTAATTTGTGTTTTTGAAATATTTGGCCATGACTGTTTTACTTCATTTGTTTCTGAGATGGATGGATGGAAAGCATTTTAAGATTATGTGTGCACAAAGAGGCTTACAATACACATCCAGGCGGTAGTGTCGAATCCTCTTCTGCCCACCCAGTGCCGGGTGGAACGCCTCGCAGCTCAGCGCCGCCCCATTGTCTTTCCTTTCTACTGGGATCCTGATGGTGCTGGACACGCTGAATGTCTTCCCGTTGTCCTGCTGGGACACCACACCTGAGGAGAAACAGGAGGGATGAGAAGATGGAAGGGAAGAGGACAGGTGGGGTGAGGGAAAAACAAGTTAGCAGCCAAAACATGCTCGCTTTTCCTTTTTTACCCCGCTGAGATATCACAGGAGAGGGAAGGTGACAGGAAAACGAAGAGACGGGGACAGCAGTGGTATGAAAGGAAGCGAAAGAAGTCAGGGTAAGTGAGTGACAGGTGGAGGAGGTTTTCACAGTAGCACTCGTACCTGAAGAGTGCTGGATAAGAAGCAGAGGATAGAATAAGAGACAGCAATTTGCATCTATATTTCATGGCAATTATAACCAGCAGAACTGTTTGTTTGCAGATGGTGAATCAAGTGAGAGTTCTGCGTGTGCTTGAGTGAAAGAGGGAGTTTGAGAGATGGGGGCGAGAGAGGGATAAAAAGAGTGAATATGCATAACTGAGTTGAGATTTTAACTGAGCCAGACGTAGAGAGGGTGGGAGAAGAAAGGCAAAGGAGAGAGGGACTCAGAGGGAGAGAAGGGGCAGCAAATCGGGCATGATTGATGAAGGAGGGGGGGCAAGCAAAGGGAGCTGAGGCGAGACAAGCCCCGACATGAAAGGGGATGATAAGAGTGCCAGGCCAGATGCAGAGAGGGAGAGAGATGGGAGAAGAGAGGAGGTGGGAGGACAGACAGAAGGAGGGAGGAGGGGGAAGAGGAGGAGGAACAGAAGGGTGACACGGTCACGTATCGGGAGTTTGTGCATGTTCAGGCAGAATTTAACAATATTACTTATATCGCGCTGAGTTTTCAATTATTGCCACCCAGCAAATGAAAGTAAGCCCAATCGAAGCGTGAGAGAGGCCGGCGGTGGGTGCAGATGAGCAGGAATACAGGAGCAGCGGGGAGATAGGGTCTTAATTAAAGAGTGCTTTCCCATATCTGCTGGGATCTGCCTCTAACCTTTAGTGTCACAGTTCATTTAACTCAGGGCCAAAAAGAGAGGAGAGGAGAGAAGAGGAGAGGGAGAGAGGAGACGCAAGGAGATGGAGGAAATAGGAGTAAACAGGTGAAAACAAGAGAGGAGATTAAAAGGAGGAATGAGAGGAATTAAGAGGAGAGGAAGCAGAAGAGAAAAGAAGAGCAGTGGAAGAAAACAGGGGGAGAAACAAGATTATGGGAGAGATAATGCAACCAGGAGATGAGGAGAGGGAACAAGACAAGAGGAGAGAAAATAGGTATAGAGAGAAGGAAACAAGGTAAAAAGAGAGAGAGAGAGAAAAGGGAGGTGAAAAGAAATCAGAGGGAAAAAACAGGAGAATTGCAGGAGAGTGCAAAATGAAGAAAAGGTAGAATTGAGAGAAAACTAAAAACAGAGTAAGAGAGGAAATAAGAAAGGTAGAAATAAAACAGAGTGAAGACAATAAGAAAAGAAAGAAGAAATCAGACCAGAGGACAGGGAAGGAAGGACGGAGGAAAGGAAGGAAGGAGACCAGGGGAAAGAAAACAGAAAAAAAGAGGGGAAAAGAAGGCGGGAGAAGGACAGACGAACTTAGAAAAGGAAACAAGAGAAAAGAGCTTAGGAAACAGAAGGACATCAGACAGAAGAGGGAAGCATTAAAGGAAGGAGGAAAGTGTTGGTAAACAAGAAAAAACACAAGTGCAGTTTTCTGAAAGTCATTTTCGCCCAATAAGTGAGGTGAGGGGAGTCACGTCATTGTCACAAATGGAATTTAAAGTAAAGAGGGGGAAAAGAAGGGAGATCAGACGAGGTGAAAAGGAAAGGACAGAGTGACGGTGACAGCTGCATTCTGACTGAGAAATAACTAAAGAGACCGGATGAAAGAGACGTAGAGAGTCAGACGGAAATAGAAAGTAAAAGCGACAACGACTGACATGAAGTCTGAAAGAGTGAAACAGCTCTCAATGCAAGTCCCAAAAACTGTTGACACCAGATTATCTCACGTTATTTCATCCTGTCTGTGGGAGGTATTTGAAGGCAGCGGGTACTGAATTAATGAATCAGGATAAAGTAACACATTTGACAGCAATTTTGTACTTTTAAATAGTGTTGTCTGCATTTATTAAAAAATCTGGAGATAAATTGAATTAAATAATAGGCATAAGCCTGAGTGAAGGCGACTTTGCATATCTTAATCTCTCCGTTTTTTTTGTTCGTGCTCAGTCAGTCGTACCAGGTCTTTACCAAATCGAAATCAGGATGCAAGACAAATGCTGCACACACTCGCAGAAGATTCCTCATGGGTCGTATAAAAAGCCTGATGTTTATTGAGTGAACTATCCCTTTAACTGATAGAATCTAAAGGGAGGAAGCGAGTAAGACAGAAGGGTAGATCAAGGTCTCATGGATGGATTTATTAGAGATAAGGAGTAAGGGGACAGTGAATACAAAAAGTGTCTCTTTGTCACGGTGTGAAATAAAGGCAGAGTGAGAAAAGCTGAAAACCTGAAGCTCGTGAAGCATCTACACTTGGATGGAATTGAATTCTTGTGAGATGATATGTGCAAATAAAACACATTTGAATTAGATTTCTCAAGAGACAGGAACAGCGAAAGAATTTGACTCATACATTTCAGAAGGACAGAGAAGCTCTTATATCTCCCATCTTTCTTTCTTTCTGTTCATGTTCGTTTTTCTTACTCGGCAGTCATCATAAAAAAAATTTAATTTCTTCTTTGAACTTTTGACTTTTCTCTGCAGGAGTGGAAACAGAAAAGTTATCGCACCCTTACATTTTCGAAGGTGTGTTTGATCATTTGGAACTAGACCGTCTCTGATAAATATTGCATAGAACGGCTGATCAGAATCATAGAAACAGGAGGTGAGGAGAGATTTTGGCACCTTAAAATCTTCATTTTCTCCAACCATTTGTCCATCAGTCTATCTCAAAGGGCTCCCATCAGCTGAGCCATCTGCCGTTTCCTCTGTCAATCCGTCAAACACCCATCCATTCATCATCCTGTGATATCATTCACCTATTTCATTTCACCTGGCCTTTGTTCCCACCATTATTTCCTCATTTGTCTCTCATAATTTCCAAACCACCCGTTAGTCCATCTGTCAGCATTGTCAAGGTACCTGGGATCTCCCGGCCGTTGCGGATCCAGCGCAGAGTGGCAGCCGGCTTACTGCGTGGCGACACACAGGTGAGCTCCACCTCCCCGCCCTCCACGGCCTCCTGCTTCACCTCCACCGTGGGCGTCTCAGGGGGGACTAAAACGGAGAGCGTCGCCACCTGGTGGTGCGTGGCGTCTGTGTACAGCTGGCAGAAGTAGCCCCCCTCATCCGACACGCTGACATTGGTCAACGTGATGCGCACCAGGCGCGGCGTGAAGAGCACCATCTGGAAACGGTCATCCTTCAGAGCTGGAAGTGGACCAGGGCGGAGGAGAAGTGGGGAAAAGGGAAGACGGGGTGGGAGGGAAAGAAGGGAGAGAGAAGATTTGGGGTTACTGTTGAGTGGAGAGACCAAGGACAGGGAAGATGAGAACAAGAGTCACTGTCAGAAAAATCTCCAAAATATAAAAGATTATTTTCATGTGAAAATAAAAAGAAGTAAAAGAAAAAAAAAACAAAGCAGAGAAAACAACCAGAATTCTTTTACTCTGGGTCAGTGTAATTGATTCGATGTTTTTCTGAAGCCTCTGAGACAGACACAGAGCATTTAGATTTGTTTTTGTCATGGTGCTTTGTTTGCTAGTGTTACACCACACACACACACACAGACACAAATTCGCAAACAAGAGGACTGCCAAACCCAGCGTTATATCAGAGGACTTGTTTTAACACGTAGTACTAGAAGGCTCTTTTGCTACTGTAGTTTGAATTTGTATTAAGATGGGAAGCACTGCAGGGAGTGAGTTTGTTCCTCAATCACAAACTAACATCCTCCCAGTGAGCGGGCTGAAAGCTCTCTACAACAAGGAAAAATGTTCATCCTTAACTATTCATATCCTTCTAAATTTACCAACAGAATTTAACACGTCTGCCTCTTCAACCTACTTCATTATTTGGTCTGACTTTGTTTTCATCTGTGACTTAAAGCTCCAGTTAGGAGATTTTGACATGGCTGAAATTCATATTGAAGCTTTTTTTATGATATCCAAAACCAAACAAAACCATAATTGACAAAACTGACAATTTTAATGCTGTAATTTTAAATGCCTTGAAACCAGTGTGAGGGGGTAGGTGTCTAAAGAGCAGCTAAAGAGACAGCCCGTCTTTACATTGTCTGTTCATAGTAATTTCACTGTCAAAAGTCAACAAGATGAGATTTGTGTCAGAGGACAATATTTAGATATGTAAATGACATGATAAGCAAAAACTGTTTCGTCCACATGGGGGCGCCAAAATTGATACAAATCAAAAGTTCCTTACAGGAGCTTTAAGGCAGATACCATGAGCTTCAATTTGTGTTTATATGTCAATGTCAAGTTTATTTGTATTGCACATTTAAACAGCCAGTGGCCTACCAAAGTGCTTTACAATAACGAAGCAGTAGCAATAAAAGCAAGTCATACACAACAACAACAAAAGACATGTAACATTTAAACGTAAACAAAAACAAATACTGTATATAACCAATACAAATATCATACTCCGTCAAAAGCTAAGGTGAACAAGTGCGTCTTCAGTTGGGTTTTAACAGTCGAGAGACTATTTGCAGTACGCACACTTAGGGGTAGTACATTCCACAAAGTGGGAGCTGCAACCGCAAACGCTCGCTCCCCTCTGGATTTTAAAAACGAATGAGGCACGTATATGGCATCTATAGACTGCATGAAGGAAGTGGATGAAACCTTATGGAAAGATGTTATCCAAGATGTGAATAGGAAGAAACCGAGGCCAAGTGTTACTTCTTTCAATAGACTGTTGGCTGTATGTGGAAATAATAACTAAGACCCGAGAAGACTGAGAAAGCAAGGATAATAGACTCTATAACTCTACAATTGGGGACCACTCCTGTGTATCCAACCTAATGCATTATTTGTGCTCCATTCTTGCAAGAACTAAATGTACTTTTATTGTGTTTCCTGAACTCTGGTGCCTGCCTCTTGACATTCAAGAAAGATTTTCTCAAAACCAAGCTGCAAAACAGGAAGCCAATGAGGAAGTTCAAAACATGCAATTCCCCAAAAGGCCACTTGAGGCTGCCCTCAAAAATGGAGAAAGCCCCATTGACACCCATGTTAAAATGCACACTTTCACAGTCAAACTAAATATATTGGCAATCTGGTAAAAAAAAAAAAAAAAAAAAAAAAAAATATATATATATATATATATATATATATATTTTTTTTTTTTAACACTGCATACTTTTTAAATTCATCTATTTTGAAGATAGTAAAATTAAAGTTATGCATTAAATTTCTGTAACCAGAGTTGTGGCTGAGTTATATGCCAAGGTCAGCCTCAACTCCACTTCTTTGTTTCTAGGTAACCAAAAGTTAAGTTAAAGGGATGTTCCAGCGTAAAATTAAGTAAGGGTCAAACACATCATAACACCGAGTTAGACATCCCCTCTAGAGATGAATGTTGCCGACTGCTTGCTTCTCTAGTTATACCAACTTTAGTAACGACTGCAAGATAGCAATACACAGCAGTCTATAATGCTCTACCTACAAACAAGCAGCTGCTGGAAGAGAGTAGGTGAGTTGCGTTTAGTCTCTTTGCTAAAGAAAGATGTTTGGTGGCTAGTGCTGTGGCTAGGACCCTATATGTACTGTTGATGAAGTTAGGTGCTGTTCTGAGCATTATTTGTGGCTATAGAGAGGTGTTTTGGTTGATGTTTGTGCTTAGCTCCATAGACCGCTCTGTATTGCTATTGTGGGTTGTGGTATAACTAGAGAAGCAAGCGGTCGGCAACATTCATCTTTCGACGGGGACGTCTAAATCGGTGTTGCAGTGTGTTTGACCCTACATTTATTTTACGCCTGAATATCCCTTTAAGTCAGCATTTTCAATGTGACAGTCTTCTCCTTTGGTTTCAAAACCCCTCTCCAGAAACAATGGGTGATCTCACTGAGACTGTGCCAATGTTTTAGTCTATAAATATAACACAAGTGAAATCAGCACAGAATGGCTGGTGGATACTCTGAGTTTAATTTTCTGTCAAACTTTTCCATCATTCTCAGTTTTTTGGATGGATATTCTTTCCTTCCTCAATTTTTCTGGTAGTGCCACAGAAAAAAACTCCACTAAATTTTCACTAACCGCTTTGCTGGCTGAGATGCAAGAAAGTTTATAACTAGTGGGTTGCCAGAATAAGAATCAATAGCCAGGCTCAGCGCTTAGATAGCGGGGAAGCTTGCCTTGCAGGGGATGACAAAAGATCCCACCAGTCTCACAGCTGGCACCTCAACACGTTTAGACACAGTCCTGGAAACTTGTATTTTTGGCTTTTTGCCTGTGCCACCAATTGCTTCACTCCTTTTTCCAACTTGGAAAACAACTGTCAATAGCTACAACACTGGTCCTTTTGTGATAGGCTGATGCACAACCACCACAAACACCGACAGGGAAGTGAAGTAATGGCAGTTTTGACCTGAAGATGTGGTTACGCTGATGTTGCAACACACTGGCCAAGAGAGTGACAGTTGCTGCAACCGCTTGCACTTTCTTCCAGATAAGGGCGCAGGTTAGATTGGCACGACAGGTTCGGAGATGCAGAAGCTGACAGTGCTTGCTCTTTGGCTCTGCAGCTGAATGACATTGCCAGAGTCTGATTGTGGGCACTATGTATCACAAATGCTATGTAGACCTTGGAAATTTTTCCCCTGCAATAAATTCTGAAGGGAGTTAGAAAATACAGAAATCGTGTCCTTCCACACTCGGTAACTGGCACATACATCAAACTTGAAAGAAAATCAAGGGGTGGTATGGCATTTACTGCCCTGGAATCAGTTGTTCCTTTGCTTGGTTTCAACAAACAGCTCCCTCTCTCCAAGCTTGAAACAAGAGCAGCGATTTCAGCACCTTTTAATTTGTGATGTCACTCCAAAGGGCAGCTCTGCGGAGGACCCGCTGCAAAAACACACAGGACTGGTGGCTGTGAAAGCAACACTGACAGTATTTTTCTGCACTGGAATTGATAGAGCAAAAAAAATCGGAGGCTGGGTATAAATTTAAAAGCTCTGAAAGAGTTTTTGAAGTCGTACATTGATATAACATGACGGATATCTTCACTCTCTCATTTCCAGCTCTGTGGGGGAATTGTTCATTTGACCAAAACACTGATTGGTCCATCCTGAGTTAGTTTTATCTCTTCTCTTTATTAACTGCCGACTTCACTCCTCTCGAAGTCCATTTTGTAATTAGCGTGTGGCATTTTTATTGTTTAGCTTATTAGCTTTTAATCACTTTTGTTTTACACACTACGTGAAATGCTTTTGAAAAGTGCCATGCAAATAAAGCTCATTGCAAACCGAAAAACTGTGTTAGGAAAGCTATTAAACTGAGTGGTGCCCTTTGAATCGGTGAGAGAAAGGCTAAATACTACAATTTTACACGGCGTAAACACTGCTATTCAGACGGCAGAAATAACTAGCAATTGAAAAGGAAGACTAAAAGTGTATGAGTCTTATCAACGCTTGAATCTTGGATTTCAGAGCAACGAGCTACAGAGGAGAGAGAGAAAGACGGCGCAGGGACAAGGAGGTTAAAACAAGATGAACTCGCCGCAATTTTGCCTTTGTTACTGGAGAAAGTGTAGAATCAATGGCGAGAAAAATGCTGATAATAACAAATAACGCTAATAACAGTCTGCGGGTGACAGTGGCTCGATCGTCCATAGATTCTCATTTGACACTCACTTTGTATCGACTTGGCTGTGAAACCTCTCCCTCTCTCTCTCCACCTCTATTTCATTCTGTCCCTCTCTCCTTTTGTGTCGGCTTTGGCTCACAGTAGATACTTCCCTGATGTAACAACCGGTCATCTCACGGCATTATTCATCACAACACAGACACTTGGGTATAGATACCAGCTTTGTGTGTAGTAGAGAGAGAAGGAAAAATGAGAGAAACAGTCTAATATAGCTACGTAATGTGCCAGACGGGGAAAAAAATAAAATAGATAGAGACGGAAACCCACAGGAGCCTTGGGCTACGGAGTTAGTCCACTTTCCCTGCGAGTACGACACACTAATCTCTGCACCCCCACCCCCTAAATTTCCTTTACACCGGATGGCATCGAGAGCACACTTAGAGAGCTATTCCCTCAAGATAGGTAAATCTTCTTTCCCTCCCGGCACTAAATGGCACCTAAATGTCAGACTTCTGTTCGAGTCCAAGTTCACCTTTATTGTCCCGCCTCATTTGCATGCTGAGGAGAGCTGGCAATAGTCAGAGAAAAAGAGATATGGACCACTGAGGAGAAAGGGTCCATTCGGTTAGTTCCACCGCTCTATTATGGCCATCAGTTCCCCACAATCTCATAAAACACAGCCCCCGACTGGTTGCTCACTTGCAAAACATGCAGCCTAATTCGCAGCACTTACAGCATCGGCTCTATTTGGGCAGTTAGCGTGGAATGGCTCGGAGCTGAAAGGCCTCAGTCTGTAAGCCCGGTATCTGGGCGGCAGATGGGCAATAGGCAGAAATGGGAAGGGCCCTTCAGCAAGTGATGGAGCAAATGTGGAAGGCAGAGAGAGAGCCAGAGTGAGATGTAATTTACGCTTCCAGAAAAAATGTCCCCAACGAGGCTTTTCAGGTGCTTACGGGAGCCAAATTAGTTACGGGAAGCCATCGATACTTTATACCTTGCCTAACATTTGGATCACTTCCCAGAGCTGTCTCTTTCTACACAGCCTGACGCTCCCTTTTTCACTCCCTCCGTTGCCATGTCTTTCTCAACCTTTCGCCCTTGTTCTCCTTCTCCCCCAATCTTGTTTTTACTCTTCCTCCTCCCCTCCGGCTTTCACATCTCTCCTTCCTCCTCTCTCTGATAAAGCTCCACGGTGCTTTCCAAAGGGTGCGAGTCCATGTCTTGTGGGAGCGCGGACAGGTTAGCTCTGTTTAAATACTTAATAGAACTCGCTGGTAGAGCTGATCTGGTGGAATTGAGGGGAGAGTTGGGGAGTTGAAAGTGAGGTTCCCCAAAGCTGCTACCTTAACAACCCAATTAAGGCCTCTTCGTGATTGAAGTAACTAACAAGTGTTGAAAAAGTATTGAAATGCTGCAGGAGTCATGAATGAAAGCGGCTCTTCTTGTCTTCTGTGTTTTCAGACCCATCTTGGCGTACTGCTCAGAAAATCTTTAGTGACTACTACATTGGCAGAGACTGTTCCCAAGGGAAGTGTAGGAGTCTTGATTGTTGAATCAATGTAATTATAAGTGCTGCGAGTTTCTAATGATTAAAATGTGAGAGTGTGTTCAAGTGCAAACTATCACATACTGACAAATAATGGCTCTTAGTTAGCAGACATGAATATATGCCCTCCAGTTACAAGAAAAAGACTATTTTCTCTGTGGTGGAAAAAAAAACAAGTTCAAGCAAGTTCAAGAAGTAGATTTAGTTAAGCTTATTTGTGCCAGATTCAATGTTTATTTGCTGTGTAAAAGTGAGAAAATTGCACATTTTGGACCCTGAACAATCACTTGATTTTGCTGCCAAAAGGAAAAAATACCAAAGATGTCAAAGCGGGACGCGCTTGATCAGCTTAGGACATCCTAAGCCATTATTCTGTGCCATATTCAATTGAGTAAAAGCAGAAATAAATTGGTACAAAAGTACAGTTACGGACTGTGTAAATTTTTAGAAATTGAGCTATTACAAAAACGCCATGTGATGGCTGTGGTGACCATGTTACTATTACATCTGAGTTAGGGTTCTGCGATATAGGAAAAATTTTACTACAATATATTTTTTTCATATCAGTCCATATAAATATATATCACGATATAAAAGGTCTCTGTGTCTCTTTGACGTTTTGTTGTAGTGCGTTACACTAGATAAAGCGGATTGAATGGTCGGCTGTTTCGGCTGCACAGGTGCCATGGGCTCCTGACTCCTCTCAGGGCTTTGTAACCTTTGCCATTGTGCGTGCTCTGCCACGGGGCGCTGCTTCAGGTGGTGAAAAAGATTTGAGGTATTCCCTGACTTTGCGAGAACATGTACTCGACATAATTTACAGTACACACTACTCTGCTTCATGTCCGACCTCAAAAAACCAAAATACTTCCACACCACTGATGTTTTCGTGCTAGTGTTGTCGACAATGTCATTATCTGTTATGCCTTCATCTGCATTTCTGCCGGAGGTAGCACTAATTTTCTTGTTTTCTCACCAACATTGCTGTCGCCTTCACATGTTTAAGTGCTATGGTTGCATGTAGCCGCAGCCTGTGACTAAGCAGTTGTTTGCTACTTGGTTTTAATTCAGCACACGATTGGTTCAGCGCGGAGCGGACCTCGAGCAACTCCCCCTTTTCATTGGCTATTCGTATCATCTACCAAAACATGGCAGAATGCCGAAAAGCATACTGACCACGTTTTATATTGATATTGAGGGAAATTAATTTTTGATATAAGCCCTAATCTGAGTGTTTGGATCCAAACAAATGTAAGGTCTTTTCTTTGTTCCATGCTGTCATGACTGTTAACCACAGACTTTACAACCTGAAAAAAAGATGAAATCCAGATTTTAAGGCATCTGTTGCCGTCTGGATTTTATCCTCTACTTCTTACAGATGCACTGAAATCACTGTTAAGTTTGCACTTGAATTGTTTGAGATATGATATACGGAATCATAAAAGCCCTGATGATCAATTAAGAAGAAAAAGCTCAGACCTGCTGTGTGTTATCATGTTGTGTTCAATGAATTCAGTGTTGGATCCATTTCTGAAAATATTAAGGGGCCAAAAACTGTGCACTTGTTTTGTGCTTTCATACGATTTTCACCTGCTCTTTTCGACAGTTAAGGTTTAGTCAATCAACAGAATAATCATGCGACCAGAGTGCAGAAAATGCGGCTTTTACCGGCTTCCATCTTGCCAAGGTTTAAAGGAGAGGTCATCCACAGAACAAACTTTCAGCAGCTATTTCTCTAATCATTGCACATATTTGAGGTTGACTAAAATCCAGCTCCCTTCTAAGACTGGGACTTCTTTACCAATGTATTCACCCGCAAGATGATGAATCCTCCGTCAGTTCAAGGCTGAGTTTGACTAACTTTCATTACTCTCGCAGCTGAAAATTTCTTTATCTTTTTCCTCCTCAAGGCCATGAGACAAGAGCAAAAACAGTTCCAACTAAAATTCTGCCTGCCTGACGCTTTAGTCATTTTAGTTTGATTCATTTCAATTCAAGGATTTTTTAATACAAACTTGAAAGACATTTTCTGAAGCATAACGAGATAAAAATAATACAAACGTTTAAGTGTATCCAGTAAACTACTTTGTAACTCAACATTCAGTGAGAGCAGCTTGAGTGAAGGGAGCGCAGCAAAAAGACTGTCTGAGAGAGTGAATTAAGCTTGGAAAATAAACACCTGTCTCATAATTACAACAGCAGAGCATTTCTTTTTCAGGATCAAACCTCATCGGGACTAAATTTAGAAGAGAGTCAGAGCAACTTAACCATGGAAACGACTCTGAGTGCCAGGTCTTCAGCTGTCAATAAAAAAAGGCTCAGGAAGTTGAATGTCATGCCATTTTAAGTGGTGAACACACTGCTTCCTGTGGGTTTCTAAATGGGCTTACATCCTCACCTAACCAAGCTTATTTCAACGCAAGGTAACATTGGCTGTACTTTCAATCAGGTATTGGAAAAACTACTGAACTTAAGAACAGCATTTCTAGCATACAAAACAATCTTTGGAAAAGGTGAAATCACAAATTATGGAGGATCTTAGTCTTCCATCAACATTTCCAGATAAACGTTCATCTACAAACACATGCTTTCAGTTCTACTGCAACTATTTACACATCAGGTTTTTGTGCATAAAGGGATGTCCGGATATAACTTTTTTACACCTGATACGATACTGATATTGTGGCTCTCAGTATTGGCTGATACAAATGTTAAAACGAAATTGGCACAGAATTGTGCATTACAAGTTTTGCACTCAGCTAGGGTGACCATACGTCCTCTTTTACCTGGACGTGTCCTCTTTTTGGGGGCTGTCCGGCCTTGTCCTGGGGAGTTTATAAAATCCTTCAAATGTCCCGGGTTTTGTATGGAAGTTTTGAGTTTGTGTCCCATGGACTTACTGAGTTAAAAATGCTTAAAAACCACTCAACCCGACCCGAAAAACTCTCAAATTTGACCAAGTGCTACCCCGTGACTGCCCCACATAGTTGTGTCCTCTTTTTGGGGATTCAGAATATGGTCACCCTAACTCGGCTGCAATGTCTTTTTCGGACTTAAACAAAAATACTGCCACACAGCCGACATCACTCCTACTCCTTGCTTCTTTGTTAGTACCTGAGTACACCCTGTTGTTGGGCTTTGCATGCTGGATCAAGGCACTGCTAAATAGCAAAGTCTAGAATGGACTGCTGATATCGGAGATTTTAGATACAGGCTGATATAATCTGATATTTGTTTTTTGCTGATATCAGACCAATATCCAATACCAGTATCGTATTGGGACATCCCTATGTGCATATATCTATCACACAAATTATTAAGGATATAACTGTTTGTACTGGAGCAAGGGGCGCTTAGAGCCGCACTTTTTACTACCAAGCAGGTAGGAGACATAGGAATGTGTTGGAGTCACAGAAAATAGACTTGCACTGAGGTTTGTAAATTGAATCCATTTGTTCCACATTTGATAGAATTTGTCTCTTTGGATCCTCAAGGACTAAGTCAATTTCTCCCTTTATAAATATTTCCAAAATTATTCCAAACCAGTCATCTGCTGTAGGTGCTACTGGATTAAGGCACTTTCTAGTGATTGATTTTCACTTGCTGCCAAGAGGGCCTGCAGCAGCTTTGTATCACTCCTCAATTTCAGGCGCAGAACGTGACCCAAATAGAGACCCTTAAAAGTAATGGGTGCTTGAGTCTTAAAGATTTCTGCTTAATGTTTTGTGAATGCCATTCCAATATAAACTCAGTTTTGGATGCTCACAGAGTACGAGATAATCTGCCTTCACTGAGCCATCCCTGTATTTTTCTTGATGTTCTGTTCTAGAGTATCTTTATATCTCCGTGCAGTCTGTGGTAAATGCAACCTGACCTTTTCTGAATATTTGTTCTTACTTAATCTATCTGTATATTGATTTCTTCTTCATGATTGCACTAATATTCTGTCCTGTCCATAGACTGTATATACTATGGACAACTTGGCTCCGCCTTCCGTCATTATACGAATTAGAAGCCAAATTACTCTTGGTATTTCCATGGTTTCCTCCACTTCCTGGAACCACCACTTGCGCAGTAGGGTTGTACGCATTTGGCAAGAGAGTCACTGTGATGACACTCAGGCATTATGTGCCCAGGCAAAGTTAAAAAGATGTTTGGAGGCTAGTGCTGTGGCTGGGACCCTATATGTACTGTTGATGAAGTTAGGTGCTGTTCTGAGCATTATTTGTGGCTATAGAGTGGTGTTTTGGTTGAGCGTGTGGCTCTCTGTATTGCTATCTGCAGTCATAACTAAAGTTGGTATAACTAGAGAAGCAAGCGGTCGGCAATGTTCATCTCTCGATGGGGTGTCTAACTTGGTGTTATGGTGTGTTTGACCGTAACTTAATTTTACGCCAGAATATCCCTTTAACTTTTAAAAATGAAGCTGCACAGAAAAAAGAGGACTTGAGTGCAAACCAGTCTTACAATAACTTCATGTCAACATCGCAAACAAGGGGGAGAAAAATTTATATTCTGTGTGATTAATTTCTAAAGTTTGTCCACAGCTCCATAGGAATTGCTGGAGGAGGCGGGATTTATGACCTATACTGCAGCCCGTCACCAGAGGGTGCTGTTCTCGCGGGGCTTCACCCAGCGATGAGGCAGACAGCATCCATTCTATTTAAAGTCTATGGTTCTGTCAAAGTTGAATGATAAATACGCACAGAGAATTACACTTTAGCCTTTAAATTAAGTTGAGATCTTCACGAGTTTATCCCAGAGATTAGGGAAGGCATCAATTAACCGCTGCTACAATGCAAAACATGAGGCTAATTTTTGCCCCAATTAAGCTGCTCCTGTCAAATTTCAAAGGTAATACTTAATAACCTTGATCTTTGTTCTCTTGCTCAAAGGTTTCCCAGCAGCACTTGAAGAAAATCTGAAGGTGGCAGCTCTTGCCATAATTAGTTGTGAAAAAAACATGGAGTGTTTGCCTACCCCCGGGCCCTCAATGAAATCTGCCTTCATTATAACATTGGTTACAATAATAATTTACCATAATGCTGGCTTTAAAAAAAAACATGTGATTGCCAAGGCTGTGCTCTAATGAGGAGCTGTAATACGTTCTGATCTCATCAGAGGGGTTAACAGAGGATTATACCGAGAACTATGCTTTTAAAACAGTTAAAGCAGTCACACTCTTAGGGCAGAGAATAACACCATCGCCTAAATTAACTCAGGGTTATCTGACTTTTTAATGTGAAATCGCTTCGAAGGCAGAGTGAGTACATTTGCAAAAAGAAAAATGTAAAGTGCAAGTGGTGAGTCATTGCTAATGTGTTTCAAAGGCTACTTTCAAATGTCATTGAGGTCAAACGCTAGATAGATTAAGTTTTGCAGCACAGCCGAGCGTGTGCACGTGCATACACACCTCGCGTGCCGTTGAAGAAGAGCGTCTGCCGGCGGGGATTCTGGATGACCACGATTGAGCCATCGTAGTTCTGCAGGCGGCAGGAGATCTGAGCCGTACCCCCCTCCAGGACTGTCACATTCTCCGCCTGCACCGCCTGACAACGAGCTGCGGGAGAGAGAGATGGACGTTAATACAGCGACATGGAGAGGAAAACGAGAGGGACAAATAAGAGGAGCAGATGCGGAGAGAAAAGGGGGTCTTCAATTTGCACCTTATAAAAGACAGAACATTTCAAAATAAGGTACTCAAGGCATCCTTCATTTACTCACAATTCATCATGGGCTTCCAATGATGATAGAGAAAGAGAGGGTGGGAGGGAATCAGAGGAGGGGGCAGAGTGAAAGAGATAAAGAGTTTGAGAGTTGAAGAAAAGACTGTGAAGGACTCAACAAGGAAAAGAGGGTGCTCATGAACAATGTGTCCTTATGATTATAATAAGGATGATTATAATTACCGCCATTCATCTTTTTTACGTGCACAAACTCGCACACGTAGAAACAGCCCCTGTTGCCTGCAGCTAGAGTAACAGGATGCACCAACACGCAGTTGAATACATAATGCCTTATTAAATCTCTAAGTGCCAGTCAGCGGTGAATTGAGACACACAAACACCAACATGAATATGCACAAATTGGGCAAAATAAGAAAAACAGAGGAAACTTCGAAAGGTCGCAGCTGAACTTGGACTCTGCCATCATCTACCACGCAGTCCGAACTTCAGTCTGGTCTTAAGTATCACTCTTTTAAAAACATATTTTTGAAAGTGCCTCACGAATAATGGAATAAAACCAACACAAGTTGAAAAATAACCCTCAAGGATGAAAATTTCCAAGGCCCCTCTCTCCAGTGATTGTTAAGAAGCCACTCGAAAGAAATATTCAGCAGATCTGACAGATTGTGAAAGATGATTCCAGAGGATTTGGAGATGAAATTGCAAAATTGTGATCATCATATTCTTGCATTCTGAGAGAGCGGTGTGACACAATGCAAAAAAAAAAAAATTGAGGATCAAAGTGCAAAAGAAGTGGAATAGGGTAAGAGGAAATGTCTGTGATCGGCTCAGTGGGGAAAACAAGCTGAACTCGAGAGCAGCGAGAGCGTGGTGGAAGCCTCGGCTGCACTGAACACATTTTTAAAGCCATTTCTCATCCAGGTGCGAGCTAAACCAATTGATTACACTCCATTATCCCGATGTAATGCTTCTTATTACAGGTATTTGGAAAGTGCTGGGAGGGATTGCGGTCCAGCTTTGGCTCCTATGAATGAAAATGCCCATACATTCCCACAGACACCTGTACTCGCATTCAGAGCGCATATATAACTGAAACTCGCATGGAGGAAGGACGCGCACACTCATAGAAAGTTTTGCACAATATCTTTTGAACAAACTTTCCCCGGCTTGAAAAACCAATATGTTTTTTTTTTCCCCCCAGACAAGAGTTGGTCGAAGCAGCAGGGAGCCTCTTTGAAGTTGCTGACATCCAAAGAGTCAGTAATGAGGAGGTTGATTATGCTCTGATTGGAGCGCCCTCTGTGTTTGTGGGTCAGGCTGTTGACACGGCTCGGGGCTGAGTCACAACTCCCACTGCGCACAATGGACACTGAGCTACATCATTTGAATCCCAATGATTTGTGCACAATTAGCCAGCCGTAAGGCTTCAGCCAGGAGTGGGACGTGATTGCCTTGAAGAGAGTACGAGCTTGCCAGGCACCCAAAACTGGTATTTACCAATTTGCATCCCCATTTGCATCCTCGCTCTCCTTGGCAAAGAGTTGGCCGTGGGGAGGATTTAGAGAAAGAGTGCCATCAATATGGAAGCATGATGATGAAGCAGGCAATAAGGTGTTCCGATAAAGACGACAGGAGGATATATAATTCACTTCTGGGTCTAGCCGTGTTCCTGTATAAACACCTTCAGCAGGCAGGAAGTGTTGTGAGACAAACAGATGGTGGCCGCTGGTGCAGGAGTTGCTGACTTGACTGCTTTCGGCCGTAACAAATGTCTGTTTCTGCAGCTGAGCGTGTCCTAAATTCGAACGTGCGCACATGCGGGTGTGTCAGCCGAAATATGCACAAAAGGTTGGCATACACACAGTGTGAATAAGCAAGGGTTGGCATATTGTAATAAAGCTTCTCTGACATCATCTGATCCTGCCAACTCCATCCAAATTTAATTCTCCCCCGATTTTAATCTCTTTTAATGAAATAGTCAAAGCTTACATATTCATCACATCAGGGGAAACAGAGAGACACACTGGATATTGAACCAAAGACACAAAGAACCAAGAGGGGATAAAGACAAAGGGGACTCTAATACTCGGTGGAACAGAGAAAAAAAATCTTCACAATTACCACTAATTGTAGTCATTATTGCTCCCATTCTCTGCATCAATATTGTGATTCATATCGGGGGCCATCAGGGCCTGCCACTGCCATCCCAATTATTTTTCTAATGGTGGTTATTACTCATCACCGTGGTAACCGGGCTAGGCCGCCATTGTCTTAAACAGTGTTAATTCTAATGGTGCTGCTGTGCATCTTGACAAAGCAGTGTGTGTGTGATTAGTGACCCGTCAGGACCGGGAGAGAGAGAGTGAGGTGGCTTCGAGTGAGAGACTCCAGTCAGAGAAACACGGTTAAAAGTTTGCTTCTGGGAGAAGGCCAGAAAAAGTAATTAGCTGTCCATTTGTAAGCCCGCTCCTCCTGACAGCTGTCACCCCTTCAAAGGAAATTAGCTGCAGTAAAGCGCGAAGAAAGGCGACAAAGAAGAAAAATAAAAATTGTTAACCGCTGTTGGGAGGGAGATGGCTGGCATCCGCTGTCGCCTGCTGAGAGATGCCACCCGAGAAACACCTGCTGGCTGCTGGTGGATGATCAATCCAGGCATAAAGAACAGAGGGATGGAGAGACGGTGGGGGAGTGAGGGCTCTATCCGGGAAATGATGGCGGGGAGTTAGGAAGCGATGGCTCTGGGTATAATAATGCAGCTGGCAGGGGCTGGACGGAATATACGAGAGATGACGCATATTCTACCTCTCCCACTCATAACACAGCTGGGTGCAGCACTTCACTTTGACTGTAGGTTTTATAGGCTTCACATCAAGGCCGTGAGCCTGTGCTGCTGCTGATCAAGAGTAAAGTACAGTGCAGAGAGAGAGAGAATGAGAAAAAGGAGGGAAGGAATCAACATCTGTGGCAGCGGTATTAATCTGGCCCCCATTAAAAGCCGTGGCCATAATAAAATACTTGGAAAGAGTCGAATCATATTAAGAGGAAAATGCTGAGTGCAATCGATACCATGGCGGTGCTCTGACGGGTGTATAAAACAGGAAGAGGGGGGAACAAAAACAATCACTTCTCTCTCCAGCCAAGTGGGGGCAGTATTTCATAGCAGTGATTTGGTGCTTCTCATCATTTGAAATGCCTCTGTCACAGCCCCGCTGGAAAAAAGGAGCCTTTATTTATGACGGCAATAGAGATCAGGGAAGGGCCATCATTTCAGAATACATAAACAAATAAATAAATATAAAACAGGCGTGCAAATTCATAAGACAAGCCTGTTCGGGGGCCTGTACTAATGGTCCCCGCAATGGAGTTGAGTTATAAGCGCGGGGAGGCTGTGGATGGAGGGACAGTGAGAAAAGAGGAGATGAAAAAAGGAGAGGTGTGGAGAGTTTAAAGAGGGGGGATTTGGGAGGCAGCCAGGTGGACTTGCTGGCTCACCCTCGGTCACGGTAAATTCTAGAGACTGCCTCACCGGCGCTGGGTTAGCGGGTTGAATTACCGCTTCTCTGCGTCCGTCTTTCTACTCTCCTTCTCCTCGTGTCTCTAAGAGTGAAGGGGGAAAAAAAAGAACAAAACAAGACAAGCCACAGAAGAGATGAGCTGTCTCCGTTTGCCCCAAACATGCCCCCCCAAGTACCCTTGAAGCAGTGCAGCCACTGTCTCCTATTCATTATCTCCCATTATCTTTCAATTGGAGGCTGGCCAGGAGCTTGTGTTTTCTTTGCATGCCGGCCACGGACTTACAAGAGAATCAATGCAGGAGGATACAATGCACGACCCCTTATGTTATTACTGTTTTAATTAAAACAATAACAGCGGCTCATACTTTCCACTCTTATGAGGTCGTCATCTGGCAACTTCTCAATCTCTACCCATCTGGATGTACATTTTTCCCCATCATCCCCTGAGTCGGTGAGGCGAGCTGCTCTCCACAGTATGTATGCAAATGAGGTTTGCGATGTTTATGTGTGTGAGAGGCTGTTTATGTGTGTGTGTGTGTTTGTGTGTTGCTCCAGGTTAATCACAGAGTTTTGCGCCGCACTGACTCCATGAAAAAGCTGACTTTGAGCTTCTTCTCCTCCATACCTCCCTCTGCAGACCTACAACATCTCTCCCCTATTCCCTCTACCCCCTTTCTTTCCCTCTTCCAGGTCTAAAATTATCACTCCATCTCCTCCGGGGTGCCAGAACTCTGCCAATCAAATCCAGCGCAAAGAAAAAAAAGACGCTCCATAAATAAAACATAATCCATTTACAAATCTCACTCTCATCTCCCTCATCACCTTCGTCCTGTCACTTTTCCTCCTGTCCTGTTTTTCTTCTCTCCTCTCTCTTCTCATTTTTCTCCTCACTTCCACTTTGTCCACACATATCTTACTTTTCTCCCCTCGCTGCCTTCATGCCTAATCTCATTATCACGTCTCCCTCTTTCTCCTTCCATCCTTCTCCTCCCCACTTTCAGCCTGATCTAATCCTTGAATATCCTTTCCTTCCTTTCTGTCTTCTTCCTCCTTCACTTTCTTATCTTTCCCTGCATCCTTCATCATTCATCTTCCTCATCAGCTCCATCCTAAACATCCCCGTCTTCCTTCTTTCTCTCCTGGGCCTCAGGAGGGCTCTCCGTCCTCTCTTCCCTTATCTGCCTTCTCTCCCATCCTGGCCTTTCTTCTCTCTCTTTCTTCACATTACCCCCCCTCACACACACACACACACACTCCTCCTTTGCAATAGTTTTCTTCCAAGCTGCAATAGGCTTTCACTCCCCTTGCAATCTCTCTTTCTCCTTTTTGAGACTCAGTGGGAATCTTCTCTCTCTGCTGGTTCCATCTCCACACTCTCCTTCGCTAAATGTGATTTGTTCTGCAGCTCAAGTCTGCAGCATAATCGTGCTGTTTTTGTAGCGAGCGAGCCTGGAGCGCGGAAGAGAGGGAGCAAGGCGAGAGGGGGAGAGAAAGAGTGAGAGTGAATGGGACAAGGGGACAAAACAAATGAGCAGAGCAGGATACTCAATATCTCCGTTTTTTTCCTCCCTCTTTCATCTTCTTGTCTAACTTTTGCTCCTTTTAATTGCTACTCCCATGTAGCTGAGCCCTCATTTCACTTTCTATCCCCCTCTTTTCATTCCTTCTTAATCTCTCATTCTTTGGCATGGGCCTTAAAACTCTCTCTCTCTCTCCATCATCCACTGGTGTAGAGTAAGCACTGCGGTGTTAATCAGCTAAATCAGCACAAAAACTCTCTCCGTTCTTGACCTCTCATTAGAAACATTTACTTTCTTTGATTTATACATTTCACTCCCTGACTCTGCTGCCCAGCCGCTACCTTTGACATTGACGTCTCTTCTTCTCTCACTTGCTTTATCTCTTTTTTCCCCTCCTCTCCTTTTGTCCGACCTTCCTATCTTTATGTCCCCCCATCCCTTAAGAGTACTTCAATCACCTCGTCATCCTCTTTTCCTTCCCTCTCCCACTGCATTTCACGTCCCTGATCCCTCTTCCTCATCCCATCACTCTTCCCGCTCCCTCGTCCACCTCATCCTACCCTTCACAAACCTTCACCCTCCTCTCACTTCTCCCCCTGTCTCCCCTCTCTCTTCCTCGCTCTTACAGCTGGTTAGCTGTATCTACTGTGCAGCGTTTTATAGCTCGGGTCTGTCACAGACCCAACAACCCTGCGACAACAGCCGCCGCGTGCACACCCCGACAGCGGCTTAAAGGAAATTTACAGGGCTATTACAGCGACGGCTATCACACTGGAGATTCACCACAGCCAAAAGCACTGGTTTTAACACCCCTTCAAAATCCACCACATGGCTGCCTTCCCTTTGCTGTGTAGCTGCGCTGTGTGTTTGTGCAACGCTGTTTATGTGGGATGGAGGGAATGTAAAAAAAGAGAAAGCGCACGCTTGCTTGAAATGGTGCTAAATGTGTACAAGAGAGTGTATTTGTGTACAAATTCAAGGCCCGAAACAAAACTGCCCTACTGGCATGGATTACATAACCACACTGACTGCCAAGACACAAACTCATTCTTCCTCTGCATCCCTCACTCCCCCATTGTTTCCCCCCCACTACCCAGAATCCCCCTCACACTACCAAACACAATGTCCTTCTGTTGAGCTGATACGCAGGAAAAAAAAGAAGTAAAGTGACAGAGAGAGAGAGAGAGAAGGTACTGTGCACAGCGGCGCAATATTTGTTTACCAATGAGCAGCAGGGAAAGAACATCTCCATGTATTAAACGCATTATAATAATGACAGGAGGTATTTATAGACGCCAGCAACTCCGCCGCTGATCCCACTGCACCTCATGTTCCGCTTTCTCTCGCCACCTCTGCATCGCGTTCAATCAGTCTTATGATTCTTGGTTTCACATCTCGACCTCATGCAGCTCTTTTTGAGGCCTTGTCTCTTGTTTTATCCCTGTACCCCTCCCCTACATCTCTCTCTCTCTCTGTCTCACACACACACAGGCTGCGTTGTTCTCCATCTCTGTCTTGCTCTTTCTCATCCCCTACCTCACACATCTACAGTACAAGTTTCTGTCTGGCCAGGTCCTTTTTTTCCTCTCCCCTTTCGTCAGATAGTCTCTGTATATATCGATGTCTTGCGCTGCACTTTTTTCCCCCTTAATTCCCGTTCTGTTCATCAGCCTCTTTTTTCAGCTGGCTGCATCTCCCCCACTCTGGGGTTTGACTTTCTTTTATTTGTTTCTTTGAGGAAAAACTCACAGAAAAGGTTTCAGACACCTTTATAACTGCATGTCTTTATTCTCCTTGTTGAATCTATCAGTCCATCCACCCATTCATTGGTACTTTCACCCCCAGGGCATATGTTCCCGTCTTCAAACTCTCTGTAGTATTAATCTTAATTATTGATTCTGACTCAATTACCAGCAGATTCAGAAATCCATCCAATGCTTCATGATTCCTCTCCGAGCTTTCCTTCATAAGCCGAGCACCGAATCCTCAGTGGTATCTGATAATATTATTTAAATCTGTGTTTCTGCAAAGGCATCACATTACAACATTTAGAGGTCAACCTAAAGGCAGCACTATAAAAAAGTAAACAGAAAGTCTCCAGCTGCACATTTGCTGTAATACAAAACGAGGAGAGTACATGCGAACATTAAAAGCCTTGTTTCCCCGACATCGACACCTAGGTTTCCCCCTGGAATCGATATTACACGTCTCATTTAATCTGTATATGCGAGTGTATATACATGTGGGTGCCCAAGCGTGCATGACTTACGGGTGATGCAGAGTAGGACCAGGACCAGGCTGCGCAGGGCCAGAGAGAAGGGAGCAGGGAGGAGGTGGCAGAGGACACAGCTCCGGACAGGCCTCATTGTGTATTGAGAAGCAGTGTGAGTGTGTATATTTGTGTATGTTTAGATGTGCACACTTGATCAATGGCGTCTCTGTGACCCTGCTTGCACTGCTACCGCAAAAAAAAAAAAGAAGTAGCCAACACACAAACACACACACGCTCTGATTTGTTCCTCTGTGCTGCAATGCTGCAGACACGTGCGCACATTAACTGCCCAGCTTTGGCTCTGTGCAATCAGACAGAAGTTGTTGTCTGAGGACAACTGTTCAAGAAAGGACACTTATGTGCTACACTGCATCAGAAACTGCTGCTGCTATATTACACAGGGCTGAATCACTGCCACAACTCGCACGCAATGCACAGAAGTTTGGCCAGAGCTCAAGATGCTTTAAAAGCTAGCTGAGATTAGCTCTGGGCTACAAAAAATTCAAGTTTTGACTTCTAAACCCTGTGCGGTTTAGAGAAAACTAACAAATTGTGTTGTCTTAAATCCATACAGTGTTAAGACCTCGCTGCCACAAAGGAGTACAGGAGCCCAGTCCCAGCTAAGCACAACAACAACAAAGCCGACACAGCTAGGCTAGCTATTTTCTACCACTGTGCTGCAAGCCTCCTGAGACCAAAAGCCCGAGCTTCTCGGATCAATAAACCAGAAAAACCAATAGCAAAAGTGACCAGTGATGACCTGCGATGTTGTGTTCTTTGTCAGCAAAGCTTTCCAGCAAATGCAGTTGTGTAATTAGCCAAACTAGGGTCAACTTAATTAGCTAATAACCCGCTGCACGCAGCAGTGTCAAACTTAAGGCTAAGCTAGCCCTGAGCACCAGGCGCCCTAACAATCAGCCACACAATCAACCACAACAACAGACTTCTTGTTTCCTGTAGGTCAATCCGCACCACTCCAAGGACCAGCGGACATCAATAATACGATATTTCAGTCAAATGCACACTGGGAAACTGTCCTCATAAGCAAGTGAAGCTTGTATCTACTGATGTTGACTGAAAGCTGACTTTAAAATAGATCTACCTACATTTCTACGCCCTCGAGGAAATCTAAATCTAGGGCAACAATTCTCTTTTAATACAGATTGTATTTTAATGAGTCAAACAAGGTTTTCTGCACTCATCACCCTGCAAATCGGCAGGCATGAGTCAATGTTCCCTTGAGCTATAACTGAACCGGCCAGGTCTCTGGAGAGGTGAAGACACTATCTTGCAACTCATCGGGAGATAGCCAAGGTTAAATAAAATCCATTGAGCCTGAGTGGGGCTCTATAAAGACAGAAAGTGGAAGTGCTTGCCCTGCGTAGAATGACCAACTTGTAAGGGCCTGAGCAGTCTGCAGCCAGAGTTTCCAGATTAGACTTTTTGGCCGTCTTTTTTTACCTTTGAGACTTGGACATTATTCCCACAAGGTAGACAGCATTATCCGCTTGGATGCTAGCTCTCCTCTGATACGCTATCATGTATACGCTGTTGTGTAAATGGACAGTGATTTTACATGGTAATTTTAGACTCTACAGAATAATCACAGGCTATCAGACAGTATAATCGCCCAGCATCGACCAGCCTAACTCTTCCTTTTCAACATGCTCCACTGGGTGCAGTCAGCGCCTGGTCTCCCTCCACATACACACTGGCTCATACACACAGATCCACAATCCTGCTGTGTCTCACGTCCAGGCAGACTTCTGCTGATTGTCAGGACCTAATGCATCATCGGCTTCTGTGCAGCTCTTGTGCGTTTGTATGTGTGTTTAATATGTACGGATGTGTTTCTAGTGCAGAGACACAGCGTGACGAGCCGCACCACACCTCACTGAGCACTATCTGATGGAATAAAGCGCGGGTGTCATCCGCAGATTACTACACACTGCACTCACTCTCTGTTGCACTGCAAGCACAATGAGCTCTAACGGTGAAGGCCCTGACACTTCTGGCAAAGCCCAAAGCGGATCATCGCCAATCTCCCCTACGGCGCAGTCTTCACCGGTCAACTGCCTGACGCTGAGAAAATTACTCTGTGTTGGTGTACGACGGTAACTCAAGTCTGAAGCCTTGCAGCAGGCTGACGAAACAAAGGCAATTCAGTTGTTCAAATTGATCTCCTCAGATTGTGTTTAGTTTATCCTTTCTTCCTCCTTCCTCTATCCCCTCCCTTCAATCCTCCGGTGGCCGCTAGTTAGTCCTGCAAGTTTGTCCTCCTTTCGATTCACTTCTCCTCTGTTGACGTAGAAAATTGCTGTAATCCCAAAGTGGTATCACTGCAGATCACATCCATCAGTCTGTCCGTTTCCTATCTGTCCTCCACTTGTTTATATAACCCTGTCCACCCTCCCCTGAGTCAGAATCTGTGTGGGGATCAGTGTCTGCATATTTTGCATACTATTTTGTGAAGGTTAGAGATGAGCGGGTGTGTGGATGGAAGCAGCGACAATGGCTTCCTTTCAGGTCACCAAACAGTGGCGGCGTGTGTCTGTCTGAATGTGCTCGTCTGTCCAGTGGGGACTGAAGCAGAGTGTACATTTGCTTGTCTGTTTGGCCCTTTCACTATCTACCAGCCATCAATTTATCCACGCAGGCGCGCACACACAGGCATCATAGTGCCTCTTTATGTTAAATGGCTGATTTTATAGCTGCAGGGATGCGCTCGGCTGTCTGCTGACAAGAACTTTGTGCATGTTTGTGTGTGGCACTGGCGAGGGGAAGCGGATGTGGATAAGGCTGGTATGAACGTAACTACGACTCTGTGATTGTTACGAGTTACAATGATGTCACCTTGCTCAATAAAAGGCGCCAGCTCCGTGTTTTTATAAAGATGAAACAGAAATAAATGCAAACAGCTACTCTAACCTGTCAGCGTGTTTTGCATCAGCCAATCAAGCATAATGCAGTTCCATTGTTCATGCCCATTGACACATGTACTATCATTACTGCTATTGGCAATAAAACCTGCAATAGAAAGCCAATGATGGAAGCTAACTGCACCACACTCAGCCTCTCTGACTTTCATTGTCTTGTAAAGTGCGTCAGGCAACACAGTTTTGCTTTTATATTAGCACCTCTGCTTGTTCTTAATCAGCTGATCACTTCTAATCAGCCACAAGCTGTATTTACAAACATCTTTGCACATTTAATTTGAACCACGCTGCTTCCTATTATCAAGTCAAATAAAGTCAAATTTATTTATTAAGCGCTTTTACCAAAATAGGGTCATCACTGAGCGCTTTACAGAGCAACAAAGGACATAATTACAGACAAAAGGAGGAACACACTGCAAACATAGCACCACTGGCGAGAGAGTGTGTCTGTGTGTCTTTGGAGTCCCAGTGAGTACAACCCCCTGATGGGTGTATTTGTTTTTGTCGCAGTGTGTGCGGAAGGAATGGAGGTAAACGCAAATCGCGTCCCCTATCCCCCCTTCCCCTTTTCCTTCTCTCTCTCTCTCTCTTTCCGTCTCCTTCTCTCTCCCTCTCTCATCCAAATCAAATTTTTAATGGGCTTCATTGGTGCCACCGTGGAATAAGTGTTGCCAAAGCACTTAAGGGGCTTAAGTCAGCGGCGTGCTGAAAATATTAAGCACTCAAACAGCCTTACAAGGATCCCTGCCTGCTTAAGTATGCCGAGGAGGTCGCGCCAGCGTTTAATACCAATGGTATTAAAGCGCCCTGACAAGGGAGAGGAACAGAAATGTAGATATATATACAGTATGTCCCACAACTGGGGAGGAGATGGAGAGATGGAGACTGGAGGGGCGAAAGGAGGGGGGCATGTGGTGGGAGACAACGGGGAGTTCATGAGACGGACCAAAAGAGGTGAGAGTGGTGAAGGAAGAGCACAGCTTTAGACAAACAGGAGATATAGTAAGTTATAAAAAGCTGTGAGATAGTTGAAGAGAGGCAAGGGAGGAGAGGAAATTAAAGAAAAAAAAAACAAGCAGTGTAGAGGAGGAGAAGAAATGCAAGGGAATCGGGCCAAGGTGTGGGAGGTAAGGGTTGATGGGATAGCTGTGAACCAGCAGCAGAGGGCTAATGCAGAGATTCTATCGGGAGGCTTATCCAAGATTAAATTTCTCTTTGTCCTTAAGGCTCTTCTTGGGTTAGAGGAAGTGTTGAATTTATTTCTTATGTCTCCCTCGAGGTTGTGCGGGCGAGCGTTGGGGGGATCTATGTGTATGTGAGTGCACATGTGTGTGTGCGCTGGCGCATTGTGGGGGGGCTCATGTATATATGAGTCTGTGTAGGCGTGAATCTTGAGGGTTTATTGGCTGATCGTGCCGAGTGTGAAGGAGGGCATCTGTGCCTGAGAGGAATAAAGCACGAACAAACGAACGTATCCCCAAGGGAGTTTGACGATAAGTGTAAATCTAGATATCAATGTGGATACATTAATCTGGGCATGTAAACTCACACAGATAATCATGAATACAGATTGCACATATTTCTGAGGGAAAATATCATTTCCAAGTTTGTTTTTATTTTGAGGGATTGGTTTATGGAGCTGCCACAAAATCCCAGACCACTCAAAAGTTTAATCACTCACAGGAACATATTTTTTGAACCACTGTGATTGAGTAATCTCCCCAGAGACTTTCCCCTGTGTAAACAAAATAAACAAAACTTTGCAACTAATATAGAAGAGCCTGCTGAACTGATCGTTTCTTCTGAACCACTTTTATGAGAAGCAAATTGAAATTTGTCGAGAAAGAGTTTTCTGTTGATCTGCGGACTTTTAAGTTAAATGATTGTAATCCGAACACCACCATGAACGGCCAGGTATGAGACGTTCATTTCGCACATGTAGTCTCGTTAGCATTCTGGTTTGGGTGAACAGCTTTTGATTGATAAAAAAGCAGCTTCTTAAACTCGCCTTACACATTCAGTTATCAACAGTTTTTAGTTACCACCACTGCCAAACATAACCCCTCGCATGCTCAGACTTCCAGCTGCCAGCTTTCCCAACCTCTCCCAATCACAATTTCTCTTCGTGATCCATAACTGCACTTAAAATACATTACCCATGGTGCACTGCATAACGCCTAGATCAATACTGGCCTGACTCCAAAGGGGCACAAAGAAGACACGAACCAAAATCAGCATTATTCTCTGGTATCATTGTATCAACTGTGAAGACACTGAACCTAACACTTAAGATTTCCTGGTACAGGACATACATTACACATGGTAACAAGTAGATAAAGGAAGTACAAGCACTTTTTTTCCTGCACAAAGCACTGACTATCACAGATAAATTTGAGATTTTGTTTTAATCATCATCGTAATTCAAAATGTGAGATACTGAAGTGCAGCGATGCTCTTTTCACCACCGACTGGAGTACTTCACATAAAAGACCCTTTGAGGACATTCATACTGCTAATAAAACAGCCTGAAATTAACACTGATGATTTTGTTCGACCAACAAAACCAAACAGGACTGCCAGGAATAAGACAGATAACTATTTTGTAATTATTTCACATATCTGTAACAGCTCAAAGGGGTAGTTAAAAGTGTTCTGCCTGAATTTTATTAAATTACATGTTTCTAAAAGAAAAAAAAATCACTATTTTTTGACTGTTAAATGAAAACAGATCAAAATTTTTGTGTCCTAAAACACAAGTTCAGTATGTACTGTACAAACTCAGCAGAGTGCACCACTTTGTCCACAGGGGGCGCCAAAGAACACACCTATTATAGTTATAGATATTTAGTTATTAACCAAGAAATTTCAGTTGTTTAAGGTAAAACCTCCTGATACATGATTAGCTCAAGATTTGATCGATTAAAAATCCGCGTGAATTGTTTACGGAGGATAGTCTGAATATTTATATGTACAAAGGTTGGTGTCAACAAAGCAGAAAACTGTCAGGAAAGTGGTGGGACTTGCTCCACTTGTTTGGAAAAACAATATTAATGGCTTTCTTAATATCTGTTTTAGTTCTAAAAACACGATTCTGACTGAGCTCTGGGTGACCAGCTCTTGCTTGCTCAGCTCCCCCCCATCCTCCTGATTTCTTGTTTGGCTGGCTGACCTGCCGTTAATAGCTAGCCGAGAGCCATACACCAGCTAATCCAACTGGGTTTGCTCTGAACTCTCTAATTAGAAAAGTCACAGCACCTCGATCTATGGCACTATCACTGGCTGCATTTTCTGGAGGCACGGCTCAGACAACTTCCTGCTCACCTCGCGCCGCCGGGTGAGGGGATCAATACGGCCTGATCATTTGGGTACATTTCAAATGACACCGCCAGTCTTTCTTCTCACAACCCAGGATTACAAAGTTTTGATTTTCTTTAGTTTTTCGCAGCTTGTTGACAGCAGAGCTTGGCAAATAAATAAGAGTCAATGTGGCTCACACCATGATAGGCCAACAGGAATACTAAACAGACACCAGGATTTAAATCACCACCTGTATGAAATTACATAGTTTGGGTTTGAATGCATAAGCAGGCAGAGTATTTTCTCACTATTCCCCTTCCCCCTGTTCCTCTCACCTGTTTCTGTGTAGCTACAGTAAACCTGGAGGATACACTAACGCTCAGGAAGACAACATTTTCACTGTGTATTTTCACTTACACAGGGCTGAATAAGAATCATACAGGCCCTGTGGTACTTGGTGAAGACATCCTTTTACTCTCTCATCCCATTATGCATTTGTCATGCATCAACTTAACATTAAAAGAGACAATTTTGGCTTTTCTCCTCAAGCATGACAAAGGATTGAGTATACATTTACGAAAAAAAAAATCACTCTAAAATGACTACAAGAATGTCAGTGATGGCTGCTTCAACCGTGGCTGAATAAGCAAGTTGAAGTGTGCCACTTAGGCAGAAATGCTCCACTTTTTCATTATTCACAGTGTTGAATTAACGTCTTCAGATAGAGGAGTTACTTTAACAAGCGCAGGGTTTAGAGCCATTCTTACGTACACTTGCTTTCATCTCAAAGACTCCATCACAAATGGCTCTTTCGAAATAAACGCCTCATTTTGCAAACTGTCTTCGCAAAAATCAAGAGTTATCCTCTCCACTGCCAGACTGTAAACCCTCTGCGATAAAATACAATATCTAGTATCCAGATATTAATTGTTATACTTTTGCATTTGCCACATGACACAAAACTTTCACAATAACACCTACACTGATCTTTGTAGGGATGTTTTAAAGCATCTGATTTCCCAATTGTCTGAATATTTTATTTATTTTAGGGCTGGCTGAAAGATCACAAACATTGCTCTGGTAATCACATGATCATAGCAGCCGCAAGAAACCAAAGTCAAATTGATCTGCTGAGTTTGGCTAATGTTACAAAGACATCACCTCACGATCAATGTTGTCTGTCACCTGTGCTTGTTTCTTGAATGTGACTGCATTATGGCATTAACT